TATCGTAGGAGCGGCAACCCAAACCCTACTGTGAACTGTGCCTGCGAGGAATCTAGGTTGCTCGCTCCTTCTGAGAATCTAATGCCTGATGATCTGAGGTGGAGCTGAGGCGGTGATGCTAGCGCTGGGGAGCTGCTGCAGATACAGATTCTCGTTAGCAGAGAGGTTTGACTGCACAGAGACCATAATAAACAATTGCTTGCAGACTCATATCAAAACCCTATCAGTGAATGGCAAGTGAAAACAAGCTCAGGGCTCCCACTCATTCTGCATTATGATGAGTTGTATAATTATTTCATTATATATTGCAATGTAATGTACAATAAATGTAATGTGCTCAAATTATCCCTAAACCATCCCTCCCCCTCCCTGCCCGTGGTCCATGTCTTCCACGAAATTGTCTTCCACGAAACTGGTCCCTAGTGCCAAAAAGGTTGGGGACCACTGGTCTACATGATGAATACGTAGGTGATGATGATGATGGTGACACAAAAACATCTCATACAGTTAGATTTTCACACGAAGATACACACATACACAGGAGATAAGTTTATTAACTGTAGGACACGATGATGATTTACTCTTTGTTAAGTAGAAGCAGATCATGATAAAGGTCTTCATCCTTGTCGTCTTCACGTTGAGTAGGCTGAGGAGGAGAGAGAGGAGGAGAGGTTGGTCTTGCTGTCTCAGGAGTAGCAGAGCCGGAAGAGGTAGAGGCAGGAGAGGTAGGCACCCTTGGTGTAATTTTACAGAAATACATCGTAATTTATCTCTGACATTTTTGCTTCTTGTCTCTAAAAATGTTTCTATATGGTGCCAACCCTTCTTCCACCATTTGCTTTAGTTTCAGTGCTTGTATCATAGAAGGATCCATGTCATAAAAGAAGTCAAAAGCAGTGTTGAATAACTGGAACTCTCCTGCCAGATTGTTCCGTGTCAATTTGGTTTCTGTCACTGCTTCTTCTGTGTCTTCTACCTCATTGTGCGGCTCTGGTTGGAAGTGCTCGTCTCCATCAGATCCTCTTCTGGGAATTCCTCGGGCATGGTGCCTATTAGCTCTTGACTTTCTCCAAGATCCATATCTTAAAACCCTTCACCTCCCACCTCTTTTGCCATGTCCACATCTCTTTCATGATTTCCTCGGTTGGCTCTGTTGTAAAGTCAGACACACAACATCTAGACACAGTTTTCTCTAGCAGGAATTTATTGTTTCAGGCTTGATGGCTTTCACGGCTTTTTCTCTAACAATGATGGCATTTTCAGTGGTGCAATCTTTCCAGACTTTCATGATGTTCTCTCTGTTGGTGTTCTCTTCCATAGCGTTGACGATCCTTTCCATAGAGTACTGTGTGTAATGAGCCTTAAAGGTCCTTATGACCCCCCCAATCTAGAGGCTGAATTAGATATTTGGGGGCAAGTAGACTACTTCAGCGCCTTCAGTGTTGAACTCATGGGGCTCTGGGTGGCTAGGGGCGTTGCCCAGTATCAAAAGAACCCAAGGCTGTCCCTTATGGGCAAGGTACTTTTTGTCTTCAGGGGCAACGCATCGATGAAACCAATCCAGAAAAAGTTACTCATTGTCCAGACCTCCTTGTACAACCAAAAGACAGCTTGTGTTTGTCTTTTCCCTTCAAGGCTAGTTAGCAGCTTTACAGGTACGGGCAGTCCCGATCATAACTCTGTTACTGAACCCAAGTTAGTGTGCCCGATTCCCAATGAGCCCCCATATATTTTATGCATTCATGACATACCTAACTTTTTCTTATTTTTCAGTATTTTTAGGCTATGCAGTCCGTCTGCAAGGTTTTTCAAATTGTCACAAATCTCCCAAAATTTTTCCAAATATTTATTGAACAAAATCCATGTGTAAGTGGACCTGTGTAGTTCAAACCCACGTTGTCTAAGGGTCAACTGTATATATACAATATTATTCAACCATAAAAAAGAAATAAATCCTGCCGTTTGTGACAACATGAATGCCCTTTCAGGGCATTATGTTGAGTGAAATAAGTCAGGCAAATTCTGTATAATCTCACTTATATGTGGAATCTGAAAAAAAAAAAAAACCAAACTCAGAAACAGAGAAGAGACTGGTGTTTGCCAGAGGTGGGGGTAGGGAGTGGGAGAAATGAGTGAAGGTGATCAGGAGGTACAGACTTCCAGTTATAACATAAATAAGTTCTGGGGATGTAATGTCCAAGATGGTAACTATAGTTACCAATACAGGTTCCCCCACTATCTGAAAATAGAGCATTCCTGTGAAACCTTTTGCAAGCTCAGATTGTGTAAAGTGAAGAAGCTATTAACTTAGGGACACATCTTGCAAACAGATACACAGAATAAATGGAGATAAAGCACAGATGCTCACAGACACAGTACAAAGCTATGATGGCTTGATGGTGAGATGCTGAGCATAGTTTCTGGGGAAAGAGCTTGGCAGTTCCACTCTCCTTGCTTGGGGTTCAAGCCACCCCTATGAGAGCTCGCTACCGAACAAACTCTGATGCTATTTTTGCTTTTCACCTTTTTTCATAAAAGCAAAAATCCTCTTCAGATTTCTTTCAGTTAGTGAAAACAGGTGCTAATGCAGGTCTTTTGTAAAAGTGAAGTGGCGTAAAGTGAACTTTCAAAAAGTGGGGGCTACCTGGACTCTATTATATATTTGAAAGTTGCTAAGAGAGACCTTTATTTAATTATTTATTTGTTTATTTATTTTTTAATTGGAGTATAACTGCTTTACAATGTCGTGTTAGTTTCTGCTGTACAATGAAGTGAATCAGCTCTATGTATACATATATCCCCTCCCTCTTGGACCTCCCCCCCCCCCCCCCATCCCACCCATCTAGGTCGTCACTGAGCACCGACCTAATCTTCCTGTGCTTTATAGCATGTTCCTGCTAGCTATCTATTTTACAAATGGTAGTGTATTTATGTCACTCCTAATCTCCCAATTCATCCCACCCTCCCCTTGCCCACTGTGTCCACATGTCCGTTCTCTACATCTGCGTCTCTATTCCTGCCCCACAAATAGGTTCATCTGTACCGTTTTTCTAGATTCCACATATATGCATTAATATATGATATTTGTTTTTCTCTTTCTGGCTTACTTCACTCTGTATGACAGACTCTAGGTCCATCCACATCTCGAGAGTAGATCTTCAAAGTTTTCATCACAGGAAAAAAACTTTAGTAACTGTGTGAGCTGATGGATGTTAACTGAACTTATCGTGGTACTCGTATTACAATAAATACATATATCTAATTGTGATGTTGTACACCTGAAACTAATACAGTGTTATATATCAACAATATCTCAATAAAACTGGGGGGGGTGCCTCTCAAAACTCAATAATAAGAAGATAAACAACCCAATTTTAAAAGACAAAAGATGCAACAGACATACTACCAAAGAATATATAGGATGTCATACAAGCATCTGAAAGGATACAGTTGCAAATTAAAACCATGATGAGATATAATATGCCTCTTGGAATGGCTAAAATTAAAAATTCTCATCCTACCAAGCGTTGGTGAGGACATGGTACAGCTAATTCTCATACACTCCAATAGGAATATAAAGTGATACACCCTCTTTGGAGAACAGTTGGTACTTACTTAAAAAGTGACACAGACACCTCCCACAGGAGTGAGGTATGCTACTCCTTGGTATTTATTCAAGGAATCTGAACTCATACATCCAAACCACGACTTTTATACCAATGTTCATAGCAACTTTATTTGTAAGATGCCCAAAGTAGAAACAATCCAAATTCTATCAACAGGTGGATGAATTGAAATGTTGTGTTATATCTATATAATAGACTACTCCCCAGCAATTAAAGGGAATGAACTGCTGATAATAGGCACACCTTGTTTTACTGCATTTCGCTATATTGTGCTTCGCAGATATTGCATTTTTTATAAACTGAGGTGTTGTGAAAACCCTGCCTCGAGTGAGTCTGTCGGCGCCATTTTTCCAAAAGTATTTGCTTACTTTGTGTCTCTGTGTCACATATTGGTAATTCTCACAATATTTCAATTATTCAATAATTATTTAAATTATTATTATATTTGATACGGTGGTCTGTGATCAGTGATCTTTGATGTGATTACTACAATTCACTGAAGGCTCAGATGATGGTTAGCATTTTTTAGCAAGAGTGTATTTTTTTTTTAAGAGTGTATTTTTTGATTCAGGTACGTACATTGTTTTCTTAGGTATAATGCTATTGCACACTTAGCAGACTACAATATAGTGTAAACATAATGTTTATATGCACCAGGAAACCATAAAGAAGAAAAAAATGGCTGGTATACAAATAATCAGTTCCTCAGCTGCACTAGCCTCACTTCAAATGCTTAATGCTAAATGCAGCTAAGGACCACCCTATTGAACAGCGCTAAGGAATATTTCCATCATGCAGAAAGTTCCCTTGGAAAACACTGCTCTAAGGACCTCCACTCCTGATTGATAGTAAGACTTACCTTTTATGAAATTATATTTCCTACACACTTTCCTGTTGGCCACTTTCCCTTGATTACATTTTTTTTAAAAAAATATTTATTTTTATTTTTGGCTGCGTTGGGTCCTCATTGTTGCTGCTGCGCGGGCTTTCTCTAGTTGCGGCGAGCGGGGGCTACTCTTTGTTGCGGTGCGCGGGCTTCTCATTGTGGTGGCTTCTCTTGGTGCGGAGCACGGGCTCTAGGTGCGTGGGCTTCAGTAGTTATGGCACGTGGACTCAATAGTTGGGGCTCACGGGCTCTAGAGCGCAGGCTCAGTAGTTGTGGCGCACGGGCTTAGCTGCTGCTCCGCGGCGTGTGGAATCTTCCCAGACCAGGGCTCGAAGCCGTGTCCCCTGCCTTGGCAGGCGGATTCTTAACAACTGCGCCACCAGGGAAGTCCCTCCCTTGATTACATTTTGTTTTGTTGTAAGACAAACACGTATTTTCTTTTTAAGGTGTGCATGGATCAACATCATTGTCTTTATTTTGTTTTACAGTTGTTTTTTCCACAATGATATTTGAGACTATCAGAAATCAAGATCTGCCTGTGATCAAGTGTGTTTTAATCAACCATAGAAACAATGATTCATCAGTGGGGACATCACCATCGAATCCCTTGGTAAAGTAATATTAAAATGACAACTTTAGCTATTTTCTCTAGAGACCATACTTTGTAAGCTATTGACACCTGCCATGGCTTATGGGCTTTTCTTTTTTGTGTATTTAAGTATACTATGTACTCATATCTGGTACAGATGAGTGTCTCTACTCATTGCTACCTGGCACTCCATTCCATCAAGAGCCTTGTTCTCTTTGGGTTTAGATTCAGGAAGGACAGTGATACTAGAATGAGTAAGAAACAGGAATTGCCCTTTCTCCTTAAAAAGAAGCCAGGTTTCTCTCTCAAGCCTGAATCCCTAATTTCCAACTGTCTCCTGGATTTAGGTAAGTAGATTTTTCCATTTGCTCATTGAGACACACCTGTATAATTTATTTCATTTCTATTTCCCCAAGCATCTTCTTGTTTTAATGGATTTCTGTTTATGGCCCTGTCTAGTTCCTAGGCTTGAAAGCTCAGCCTCGTTTTGGACTGCTTCCTCTCCCTTGCCCTCACATTCAGTCAGTTACCAAGTCTTGTCAATTTCCTTTCTTTCCTAGTTCTCCTGTAACCACCTCATATTCCCTAGTCCCCCTGCCACTTCCCTAATTCCAGCCCTCATAGTCACAATAATATCATAAGTGGCTTCTTCCTTCTACAGTTCAGCTCACGTAGGGCTGCCACATGGGTCTTCCTGAAGCAGGGCTACATCCATTACAGCCCGGCTTGGTCTTCCCACGGCTTCAAGTGACATGCACGTCGCTCCATAATCTGGCTCTGACTCCAAGTTCCAACCTTGTTTGTCGTTACTCTTCTTCATGCTATTCATCTATCGCAGCCTAGCTATTTACTCAAATGAAGGAAGCTTAAATAACCGAGAAGTGAAAATATTAAAAGTCTATATACAATAAAAAGTGAACATAAATTAGCCACTTCTATGGCTTTTATCCAGTTAAGGATTCATACAGATATATAGTCACTCTGTTTTCTTTAACGTAAGTATAATACGTAGACACATGCCATGATGCCCTGGAACCCCCCACTTCCCTCCCAAAATCAGAGATATTAAAAATATTCTCAAATTTTAAGCAGTGTGAAATAGGCGTCAATAACAACCTTCTACATGCATGTAAAACTCCTGATTGTTTTTTTTTTTTTGGCCGTGCCACTTGGTTTGCGGGATCTTAGTTCCTGGACCAGGGATCAAACCCAAGCCCTTGGCAGTGAAAGGGCAGAGTTCAGCTCCCTGGACCACCAGAGAATTACCCTAAAACTCCTGATTTAATACATGATTCTTTTTTATGCCAGAAGCATGGTTGGTTTAACTTTTTAACACATATTGGTGTCATAACACATTGACTTATTAATAATTAAGGCATTTTGCATACATAGTATTTTTGTGCAGACAAGAAAAAATTTAATATTATTTGCTATGACAATTTAAAGTCTTAGTGTCTTTTATTTAATATTTATTTATTTATTTGGCTGCATCGGGTCTTAGTTGCGACACACAGTATCTTTCGGTGTGGCCCACGGGCTCTTCGTTGTGATGCATGAGCTTCTCTCTAGTTGTGGCATGGGGGCTCCAGAGCGCACAGGCTTAGTTGTCCCATGACATGTGGGATCTTAGTTCCCCGACCAGGGATCGAACCTGCGTCCCCTGCATTGGAAGGCGGATTCTTAACCACTGGACCACCAGGGAAGTCCCTTTAAGTGTTTTTTCAATGTGAGAAAATAGCTGCACACATTTAAGTGTTTTCTTATAAAACACAAGCTTTTTTTAAAAAAAATTAATGATGATTGATCTCAGTTCCTAGTATTAAGTGCTGCATTGTGTTTTATGTCGTATAAATTATATTCTTATGCAATATTCAGGGTTGTATTAAGACCTAGTAATTGTTATACAACACCAGAATACAGTATTTGTGTGCAGTTCTTTTTGTCTTTGACCTTATAGTGTCCAAAGCATTATTTTCCGAAGTTATTTATGTTCGTTCTTTTCTTTCCCACCACCTTCACTCTGGTTATGTTAGTTATTTGTGATACAATTAACTTCACTTGGTTTGTATTCCATTTTGAGTTCCCCCTATATCCTGGTTGGCTTTAATGATTTACTTTTTTGAGTATGTGCAACATGACTATGGTCCTGAAAGCTAAAGCTATGTACTAAAAGATATACTCAGGGCTTCCCTGGTGGCACAGTGGTTAAGAATCCGCCTGCCAATGCAGGGGACATGGGTTCGAGCCCTGGTCCGGGAAGATCCCGCATGCCTGGAAGCAACTAAGCCCGTGTGCCACAACTGCTGAGCCTGTGCTCTAGAGCCCGCGAACTACAACTACTGAAGCCCGCTCTCCGAGAGCCTGTGCTCTGCAACAAGAGAAGCCACCGCAATGAGAAGCCCGTGCACCACAAAAAAGAGTAGCCCCCACTCGCCGCAACTAGAGAAAACCCACACGCAGCCAAAAGTAAATAATTAAATAAATTTAAAAAAAAAAGATATACTCAGAGAAGTATCATGCCTTCTTCATGCCTACTACCAACTTTCCATCCTTTTTCCACCTACCTCCTGAACTTCACCAGTTCCTTTAGAATTTTTGTATGATTCCTGTGTTTCTTGTGCACAAATGAGCAGATACATGTGTATTTTCTTAATCTCCTTCCTTCTTACGCGAGGGGTAGCATACTTGAAAGTAGATACTTTTTGCCCTTAGCTTTCTTCACTTAACAATCTATCCAGGAAATCACTGCATATCAGTTCATGGAGTTTGTCCTCATCCTTCTTTATGTCCTCCATTGTGTGGATGGGCCATAGTTTATTCAGTCAATCTCCTATGTATGAGCATTTTGGCGGTTTCTAGTATTTTACAACTGTAAATGATGGTGCAATTAATTGCTGGAGATATAGCCCTCAAAATAGGATTGCTGGCTCAGAGGGTGAAGTGCACGGTAGTTCAGTTAGGTGTTGCCGAATTCCAGTTCCCCTGCAGAAGGGTTGCACCTGTTTGCATTCCCCCAGCAATGTGTGAGAGTAGCTGTTTCCTCACAGCCTCCCTGACAAAATGTGTTGTCATACTTTAAAATTTGTGCCAGCCTGATAGATAAGGGATATCTCAGTGTTGTTTTGAGTTTTTCTGATCATGAGTGAGCTTGAACGTTTTCTCATATGTTCAAGGGCCATTCTTTACAGCTTTTTTGTGAATTGTCTATTCATTTCTTTTTCCCATTTTTTCTTTTTTCTTTTCCCCCTTATTGTTTATTTATTTATTTCGGCACCAGGTCTTAGTTACAGCATGGGGGATCTTCATTGCAGCATGCAGGATCTTTAGTTGCGGCATGCGGACTTCTTAGTTGTGGCATGTGGAGTCTAGTTTTCCGACCAGGGATCAAACCCCGGCCCCCTGCATTGGGAGCGTGGAGTCTTATCCACTGGACCATCAGGGAAGTCCCTCTTTCTCCCATTTTTCTACATTTTCTCCCATTTTTCCCACTTTCTGTCTTTTGGCTCCTGTGTCCCTCAATGTTAAAAAAAAATTTATTTTTTCCTTTTTTTGGCCCGCGTTGTGAGGATTGCAGGATCTTAGTTCCCTGAATAGGGATTGAACCTGGGTCCTGGGCAGTGAGAATGTGGAGTCCTAGCACTGGACTGCCAGGGAATTCCCTAAAAAATTATTTACATATTAGGGATATTAGCCCTTTATTTCCTTTATCTGTAATATGCATTGCAAATATTTTCTCCTAGCATGTCAGGGTTTTGTTTGTTTTTACTTTTTTTTTAATAACTCAATTTTTTTTTTTTTTTTTTTTTTTTTGCTGTACGCGGACCTCTCGCTGTTGTGGCCTCTCCCGTTGTGGAGCACAGGCTCCGGATGCACAGGCTCAGCGGCCATGGCCACGGGCCCAACCGCTCCGCGGCATGTGGGATCCTCCCGGCCCGGGGCACGAACCCGTGTCCCCTAGCATCGGCAGGCGGAGTCTCAACCACTGCGCCACCAGGGAAGCCCTAATAACTCAATTTTTAAAAAACTATTTATTTGTGGCTGTATTAGGTCTTCACTGCTGCGCTCGGGCTTTCTCTAGTTGCAGCGAGCAGGGGCTACTCTTCATTACGGTGCACAGGCTTCTCATTGTGGTGGCTTCTCTTGTTGTGGAGCACGGGCCCTAGAGTGCATGGGCTTCAGTACTTGCAGCACGTGGGCTCAGTAGTTGTGGCTCGAGGGCTCTAGAGCGCAGGCTCAGTAATTGTGGCGCACGGGCTTAGTTGCTCCGCGGCATGTGGGATCTTCCCGGACCAGGGCTCGAACCCGTGTCCCCTGCATTGGCAGGTGGATTCTTAACCACTGCGCCACCAGGGAAGTCCCTGTTTGATTTTACTTTATGTCCCTCTTTTAAGATCCAGCTCAATTGCTGTACTCCAGTGAAGCATTCCCACCCCCTCTATCCCAGCCTGGAAGTCACCTCTCTCTCCTCAGAAGGTCCAGAGCACTTAAATGCACCTTTCAGAGTAGTCGGTATCTGTTTATGGGGCACATCATATTTCACTTTTAGTTATTTCTTCCTATTAGAGTCAAAACTCAAGGACAAGGTCAGTGTCTTTTTTCCCCTAGCCCCATTGCACCCAGCAGGTGGTCTAGCTCATATCAGATATTGACTAAATAACTCACCAGATACTAACTGAAGAAATGAACAAATAAAATCAGAAATATGGCTTATGGTCAGTAGCAGAAGAGCTACCCTACCCTGCTCTTCACCTGCAGAAGCTTGTGTGTGTGTGTGTGTGTGTGTGTGTGTGTGTGCGTGTGCGTACACACGTGTGAGGGCTACACTATGTGTCGGGGGGTAGGAGGTGAGGGGTCCAGCAGCAGAAGCTGCTAGCACACTGTCCTCTCAATATATCTCAGTTATTTAAAGCAGGCAAGGGGTGTGATGGTGGCAATGAGCCTATGGGGATGTCTGCCCAGAACATACTGGGTTGGCCACAAAGCGTGTTTGGGTTTTCTGTAACATCTTACGGAAAAACCTGAACGAACTTTTTGGCCAACCCAATATTTTAGTTTTTAAGTTCCCTCTAACACAGATACTAATTTACTATTACTATGTAGATGCTTATCTGCATACCAGTAATCACAAAAACATATACCTATGTATTCCTTTTTTGTTTTTGTTTTTCTTTGGCCGAGCCACGCGGCTTGTGGAATCTTAGTTCCCTGACCAGGGATCGAACCTGGGCCCCCAGCAGTGAAAACACGGACTCCTAACCACTGGACACCAAGGAGTTCCCTATACCTATGTGCTTTAATTTTATGATTATTATCTGTATATTAGTTTGTGATTGTGAGGGCTGCCATAACAAAGTCTCAGACTGGGTGAGTTAAACCACGGAAATTTATTGTTTCATAGTTCTGGAGGCTAAAATCTAGATGTCGTCAGGCTTGGTTCCTTCTGAGGCTGTGAAGGAAGGATCTGTCCCAGGCCTCTCTCCTTGGCTTGTATGGCCATCTTTATGTTCACAGGGCGTTCTCCCCGTGTGCTTGTCTTCTCCAAATTTCCTCTTCTTATAAGGACATCAGTCATAAGATTAGAACCCACCCTAATGGCCTCATTTTGACGGGATCACCTCTGTAAAGGCCCGGTTCTGAATAAGGTCACATTCTGGGGTACTGGGGGTTAGGACTTCAACATATGAATTTGGGGGACTTCCCTGGTGGTCCAGTGGTTAGGACTCCGAGCTTCCACTGCAGGGGGCACGGGTTCGATTCCTGGTCAGGGAACTAAGATCCCACATGCCACATGGCACAGCCAAAAAAAAAAAAAAAGAATTTGGGGGGAACACAGTTCAACCCATAACAGTCTATAAAACATTTTCGAAATGCAGCCTACAATTATCTGTCTTTTCTTTAGAGACTTGTAATTTATAGGCATTTTGGTCAGACATGATGATCCTCAGTGGGTTATGATGTGCTTGGCTGTTGTGTGTCATAGGTCAACATGTGTTTATTTGATAAAGGTTCCAGCTAAGAAGAAGATGCATTGAACGTGCACTTGTAGTGAATTCGCATCATTTTGTCTATGACATAGGCATCAGAATCCCGGGAAGACCTGGACTGTGCCTTGAGGCCCGAGAGCACAGAGGCAGTCTACGAAGCGGCCACTGTGGAGGTGGACGTGACCGCATCCATCACACTGCAAGTGCTGGTCACCACCCCGGGGAACATTTCCTGTCTCTGGGTCTTTAAACACAGCTCCCTGAATTGCCAGCCACAATTTGATTTACAAAACAGGTAAGCAGGGGCGGGGCAATGTGCAACCGTCAGGATTTTTGGAGGAATAGTTTCTTGCCATACAGAGACCTTCTTGCTTCATTTAGAGTTTCTTTTCCAATCTCTGTACATGTTCACTGTAACTCTTATTTCCAGTGAAAGAAAATAAACTAAAAAATAGCTAAGGCATGGATACATGACCTTTTGCAGCGGTCAAAACCCATAGGACAAACGACACAAAAGGTGAACCCCAGTGTAAACTGGGGACTTTAGTTAATACCAGTATTGGTTCATCAGTTGTAACGAATACACCACACCTATGCAGGATGTTACTAATAGAAAAGCTGTGTGTGAGGGGTGGGAGTGGGGCGAGGGTGTATGCAGGATCTCTCTGTACTTTCTGCTTAATTTTTTTTTCTCCTTAATTTTTCCATAAACCTAAAATTGCTCTAAAAAATAAAGTCTATTCATTTAAAAACTTATATACAGATGTATAGGTATATTTAGGGCCTAAGAAAGCAGTGATGACTGGCAAAATGTAAAACAAATAGTGAAGAGTATTTGGGATTTTAAAGATGGGCTTGTTTTTTAAACTGGATTTTGTCTTAAAGGTAAAAACTTAGGAAGTTTTCATTCCGTTCTGGTTAAAGTAGCAAGGAGCTTTCTAGTTGAAGCAGTGAGAAGCTTCTTTCTGGGAAATCCTTGGGGAAGAACCCTTGGCTTTACCTAGTTTGTTTCACAATATGATGAGCAGAATTGCAATGATATGTGATATCCACAAAGCATTTTAGTAAGAAATTGATCTGTATGTGGGGAACGTTGGTCTCACCATCCAGAAAGATATCATGGCCAAGGTTTGTAGATTGACCACCAAGCCTGTATCTAACCCTGGGCTGACTGCTGCCCCCTGCTGTCCGAGACCAGGTGGGGCAGGAAGCAAGGGGCACAGGCCATTGAAATGCCCACTTACTAATTCTAAGGTGCTTTATTCTCTAATTCTTGGGGTGCTCAGGTGACCCGAAGCTGTAGGAGAACCACTGTCTTTCTAGGAGCAATGCAGGAAATGGCCCCTCAATGACCCAAAGGGGGTTCCATGCCACCTGACTGAGACACGGGAGAACATCTGTGACTGACTTGTACCAAGTATTCACATTTGTGTCTTTAAGGTCAAACCAATGTTTAAGTAATTTTCAGGACAGTAGCTATAATTCTGAAGTTTGGTTCTAAATCTTAGAGCACCTTCATTTTCCTTTCCCCTTTTGAGGCCCTGTTACTCACTTCTCTGTTTTGCTTACTTTTCTCTTGGGGTTAAACCAAAGGCAATCTTCTATTAAGAATTTTGACTTAAAGAAATGTTCTGGTAATCTTATTAAAATCTGATGCCACACAGTTCTTGTTAGATTGAGGCCAAAAAACGCAAAGTAAAAAAGTAGGGTTCTTTTTACTCTGCTAAGAGGTTGCCTTTTTGTTCTAGGACAGGCAGCCCAAATCATAGGTCTTATGTGGATTAGTTAACTTAGTACCAAAACATTTTTAGCAACTTCTCCATAGTAAAGAGTTACTGAAATTAAATCTGGGCTTAGACTCATAGCCAGACAGATTGCACACCTAAGCTTTGATAACCGTCTTAGAGTTTTGTATGATATGCCCAAGAGTTCTCACGTGATACCAGGAGAGTGAAGGTTCAGAGAGAGAGAGCACATCCCCAGGGTACCTGCATAAGCAGAAAATACATATATTTCTTACTAATTTACTGCCTATATGAATGCAAGCACCAGTACTCTGGAACTGCGCTGCTGGGAGCTCTAAATCAGGGCTGTTCCAATATCCTGTGCCCTTGGTTTGCCTGGGGTCTTGTTCAAACGCAGATTTCGATTCAGTAGATGTGGACGGGGCCTGAGATTCTGCATAGACTCTCCCAGCTGGTGCCAAGTGTTGAGCAGTAACATCTAAAGGTCAGAAAGTGTCCATTTAAATCCAACACTACTCAACAGACTGCTAGAGAGTATTCTAAGCGCTAAGGAGGACAGATATCAAACACACATCAAGGTTGTTTCTTTGAAGAGAATGCCCCTAGCCAAATTTATCTTGACCAAGTATCTGAAAAGTTAGAAATACTCACATTGAGACATCTCTCCTTTGTGATATATCAGTGTAATTACTACCTCATAGGAAAATGCTTTGTGTCTGATTTTGCTTGAATTCTTTCCTCTAGAGGGGGTGGGAGGGGGGCACAAAACAGACTGTTCTTGATGTCAGTGAGTCTTGGTTGTACCATCATCTGGTTCTGCACGTGGGGCACGGAGGCTGGTGGCCGGGTGGCCGGCAGCTATGCCCGTGGGGGATGGTTTGTCATTGGCAGGAATGGTCCACTACTGCCAAGGAAGGCGTCCCACCAAGTCTATACGTTTTTGGTCGGAGTTTTCCCTCCGAGGGGCTTGGGCAGCATGAGGTGAAGGTGCTCACTCCCAAGGGAGGGACTGGATAAAGGTCAAGGTGAAGCTAACGAGGCCCAGGCTGAGCGCTGGCACAGGACGGGAGCTGCGTTCTCCACCGAGGTGGACCAGAGGCGCCCAGCCACCTTCTGACTCAGTGTGAAATGCGAGGGTTTTTGTTTCACACGTTTTCCAGATTAACCAGTTCTCTTTCTTGTGTTTCAGAGGAGTTGTGTCCATGGTCATTTTGAAAATGACAGAAACCCAGGCTGGAGAATACCTACTTTTTATTCAGAGTGAAGCCACCAATTACACAGTATTGTTTACAGTGAGTATAAGAAGTAAGTGCTGTTTGCTACTCGGTACCCTCAATATTCTAAAGGAGCAGTTAGGACCCAAGAGCTCTTACCGGCTTCCCCAGACACATGAGCCAGGTTTCCCTCAATACGTAGTTGAATTAATTGAACTCACTGCAACCACCCCATCGCCTGTTGAGATCCTGACGTGACCCACGGATGGTGAGGGTGAATGCTCTTCAGAACCCAGGGCATCCTCTATTTTCTGGCTCCCCGTTTCTTTCAGCGACGGATGGATGACAGGGAAGAAGTGGAAAGCATCTTGACCATGGAGTCAGAAGGCCTGAGTTCTTATTCTGGATCTGATACGACCGCCTTGGGCAGGTCACGTAGTCTCTCTGAGCCTCAGTGTTCTGATCTGTGAAATGGGGATACCCATACACACCTCAGGATGTCAAGAGCTTAGAGCTATCCAGCAGAGCGGTCTGAGGCGATGAGAACGTCTGTCTGCTCTGTCCAGTAAGGTAGCCACTGGCCACATGTGGCTGGTGGACACTTGAAATGTGGCCAGCGTGACCAAAGTTTTCATTTTAATCAAGTAAAAATTCCATTTAAATAACCACATGGACCTGGCGGCTCCTGTGTTCATACAAACACCAGATCGCTACGCAGACCATCAGGAACAACGCGGAAGTTCTCACCCAGGGAAGCAGCTGTGCAGTTGGCTGAACCACCGTCTGCGTGTCTCCTGGCTTCTACTTCTTTCCACCCACTTACGCGCAGGCCTGCGGTTGTGTGGACTCAGCCCTGTACCCACTGGCTGCTTTACCCCACATGACAAACGGGGACTAGCGGTGGAGGCATTCACATGGGTCCCGCTGCCTTTAGGGGCCAGGGCAGTGCTCCAGAAACTCTGGGTTTATCCATTTTAAAGCAAGCTCCCGGGCTACGCCTTGGTGTGTCTTGCCAGGCGGAGGCTGTGGTGCACGTGTGTCCAGCCCACAGAGGTGCGGGGCTCAGGGGAACCACGGCTCCCTTTGGCCGAGGCTGTTCTGCACCCACCATCGCAGGTGAACGGCTTGCTGAGAGGTGTGGAAATGGGCACGACAGCCCGAGGCTGAGCGTGGCCAGGTCCACACTCTGGGCCACACCGCACTGGGTCTCGCACTCAGAGCTGCGAACAGAAGAGCACTCGTGGCCGTTTCGATTCCCCCAAGTGTCATCTGACCAGGGCTGGGGACAGGGTGTTAGGTTCCAAAGTCAGCCTGTCGGGCAAAACCCCAGCAGAGTCCAAATCGGTCAACATTTGTTTTGAAAAGCCTTTCAATTACTCTGATATTTATAGGACCAGAGCCCTAGAAGGTCAGAAGTCAAGAGGTACCTCTTGTTTCTCTTTGATTTTGGTCTTTTTCCCTGTCCCCTCCCCAGTCCCCGACCCCCCCTCTGTGGGACAGTAAATCCTCAGGTTGGAAGAGACTAAGAGATTTCTTGCTCTCTCTCTCTCTCTTTTTTTTTTTTGTCAAGTGTTTATACTTGAATTTGTATAAAATAAATGGGCATCTGCTCTCTTTATTTAGGGTAACTTCTTTTCACTTAAGATTTACAATGTAAAAATAGCACAGCAATCATTCAAGTTAGTTGTAACTGTTTTTAACGTGCTGCTGGGTGGTGGGATTCAAAAAAAATCAGGTGGGGTAGACTTGGCAACAGTCAGCGTGAAAAAGAGGAAAGGGTTTAGTGAACCACAAGTTCACTACGAACCAACAGTATGGCATGGTTGCTAAAAAAGGAAATCTGAACCTTGGCAGCGTTCACGAAAATGTAATGTCTGGGTAAAGGAAATTAATGGAAAATTACTCTTTTCAGTTCTACAGTTTTTTCAGGTGAATATTGACAAAACAGAGCAACCAGAATAGTGAAGATCTTAGAATTCCTTGATTAGGAGCAGCTGAGGGAATTAAGAATGTTTAGCGGAGAGAAGGAAATATTTTTGAGGAGAGAAGAAGATTGATTGCAGTGTAACGTAGAGGAAACCCTTCTGGCATGAGTCAGGAAACCTGGGCTAACTAGTTAAAATGCCTTCGATGATAATGATATCCCTTGACCTCCGCATTTGATTTTAAATATTTGAAGGATTTTCATGGGGCAACAAACTTCACTTGAAAAACAAAATTGCTCTAGAGGGTAAAATTGGGACCAATGGTCAGCAATTACAGGGAGAGAAAGTAAAAACTACCAGAAAATGGGAAAAGATGTTTGGAAGTCACATAATCAACAAAGGATGAATAGCCATAATAGGTAAAGAACTTCTATAAATCAATAAGAAAAAAACCAGTAGAAAAATGAACAAAAGACATGAGTAGGCATTTCACTATTGTCAGTAAACATATTAAATTAATAACTGAGACATGCAAATTAGGGCCACAGTGAGATACCGTTTTATACCCAGGAGACTGTTGAAAACAAATTGTCATTATGTGTAAAGCAGAAGGGCTCACACTATATGGACCAGCAGTTGCACTCCTAGGTATATTGTAAAGAAACTTAACACACCTGCCTCACTAGGAACGCCCAAAATGTTCATAGCACCATTGTTGGTGACACAAAATACAGGAAACAACCCAAATGTCCACTGCAAGAAAATGGACTAATAGATTGTGATGTATCCACCCATGGAACACAATGTAGTGGCAGCAAAATGAATTAAGCATAGCTACATGCAAAACCATGGACGAATCTTAAAAACGTAAACTGAAGTTGTGAACGACTGCATACTGAGTGATGCCGTAGGTTGAAGCTCAAAAACAAACAAAAGAAACCAGTGTATTGTTTAGGGCCACACATCTATGTGGTGAAATACGTGTAAAAGTATGAGAACGATAAACAGAAAATTCAGGATAAAGTTAACCTAGGCTTGAGAGACAAGGAGAAGCAGGACAAAAGCAGATTCAAAGATGTTTGTTATTATTCTGGTTATTAAGTTGAGCGTGGGTCCACGGGTATTCGCTTTTATTATTATGTTTCAAAATTAACTCGTCATATATTCTTCGCTATGTATATACATATATATAAAGTATTAGATACTATTTTTAAACAGAATTTATTATAAGGAGGAAGATTGAAATTTAGCATGGGAAACTTTCTTTGGAAAAGAAGAAAAGGTTTGTTGAAAAATGGGAGGATCAACTCTGGGAGGTCATGAACTCCTGTTCCCAAGGGGTCCGAGCAGAAGCAGAGAGTTTATATGTGAAGGGAGGGGAGGGGGAGAAGGGGCGAGGGGGGAGGTGTGAGGGTCCAATGTGAACAGGAGGCTGAACCAAGCCTCTCAACTCTGTTCCAATTCTACCTGCATCCTACTCTATTTCTGCCTAGTTCTAGATACAATTATGGGAAGAAAGTTGGGTCTTAAACTATATAAGTATGTGTTATAAACTTTATGTTATTTCTACTTTTCTTTTTCCCATGCATACTGATATTTGTGTTTTTACGTGGCTTCACTCCACTAAACGTTAGTTGTCTTTGGATTCATGAAATACCCAAAGACATTAGCTACGAGAATAAATGCTAAATTTAGCATTTCAGCCAGAGTCGAATTTAATATATTGGTGAGGAGGGATATGTTATTATATATATTTGGAGTGGAGCAGAAGACACCGCTACGGCACAAAAGGTTAACTTTTTTAATGGTGCAGAATTCTTCTTTTGAGGAGGTTGCTAAGACAGTTATTTTTTTTTTAATGTTTATAATAAGAAACATTTTTAATATTAAAACGTTAATAATTTATGATGCTTTAGATACGCTGCTTTACACGTTAAGGAGACCTTACTTTAGAAAACTGGAAAATCAGGATGCCCTGGTCTGCATCTCGGAGAGCATTCCAGAACCAACCGTGGAATGGGTGTTCTGCGATTCACAGAGTGACAGGTATGACATGTGGAGAGAGAACTGCTTTTATGACTTTACTTTTTCGGTCTCTTTCTAATATAGTTGACATCATACTGTCTGTACAATTTATCACCCTGTTAACAGGAAACGTTGGCTTTTTTTTTTTTTTTTTTTTTTTTTTTTTTGCGGTACGCGGGCCTCTCACTGTTGTGGCCTGTCCCGTTGCGGAGCACAGGCTCCGGACCCGGGCACGAACCCGTGTCCCCTGCATCGGCAGGCGGACTCTCAACCACTGCGCCACCATGGAAGCCCAGGAAACGTTGACTTTTTAAAGAATGATTGGTGTGGGCTTCCCAGGGAGGATGGTGGTGGACACCTTAGTGACGAGCCCTTTGGAGCGCCTCGTCTGTCACGTCACTGACCTGTAGGACCCTCCCTGGATATCACATGACACGAATAAAAGCCCTTTTAAGTTACACGCTTGTCGACTCCCTGAGCATTTGGTTGGGGAAAAAGAAAGGTCCAGCTTTTAGTGTATAATTCCCTATAAGTAAGAAATTCCCTGTGAATAAATGTTTAATTTGTGATTATGTTGTTTACTCTAAGAGCAGTTTAATACGATTGTTTAGGGATGTAGAATCTGCCTGGGTTTGAACCCTGCTTTGCTTATACCTGTGTGGCCTTGGGCAAGTTACTTAACCCCTCCCCGCCTATCAGAAGAATGCGGGTGGGAGCAGTACTTACCTTAATACAATCGCTCTGATGAGTAAATGAACTGGTACATGTGAAGCGCATAGAACAGTGCCTGGCAGATAGTAAGTACCATATAAATGTTCACTTTTGTTTTTCATGCGTCATAGCTAAGTGCTCACAAAGTAACGGTTCATGCCATTTGAACCAGTTAAAATTTACCAAACCACTTTTATTGAAAAAGGGAACTAAAGAGAAGGAGAAAAAGTGAAAAATCAGGTTACCAAATAATATGAGCGGATCCCAAATTTTAAACGAACAAGAAAAAGAGATTACCTATAGATGTATACGTCACACGCGCACAGAAAAGAAAAGATTAGAAAGCTACACACAGCAAAATAGTAACCGTTGTTATCTCATGGTGGTAGGAATGTGGGCAATTTAATATTCTTTTCTTTGGGTTTTCCTGGATTTTCCAAAATAAACATAGTTATTGTTGTCTTATAATTAAAAAACAAAAACTCAAGGAGTAATGCATAAACAAAGACGAGAATACATTTGACTAAAGTGATAAAGAGAAGAAATGTGACTATACACAGAGTCCAATAGCCGTATCCGCTTTGGGAAAGGTGATGGTTAAGGAGGCGGGAGAGGGGAGGTGGTCCCTCAAATCCCGAGGTGTGGCTGACACCCCTCAAGTGACACTGCCCTCTCCTCTGTGAGCTCCGGGGACTCTGGGGACATTTGCAACTGTGGCCTCTCTCCCTCTCACTGGTTGTCCTTTTCAGAGCTTCAAAGAAAGCGTACCTACACCTTGTTAAGCTGTATTAAAACCTAATCATGCTTTTCCTTTTCTCCATTTTCTCTTTTTTCCCCCTTTTCTGTCTTTTCTCAATTTTTCCATTCTTTCTCTCTCTTTAACAACCAAGAGGTCACCAAACACAAAGGCTTTTAAACTGTTTTATTATGTGATTCTCTCTAGTGTTATTCTAATTGGGTGAGATGAGGAATTACTAACTAGTTGTGAATTGGTTTGCCTTGTGACCTGCTCCTGTCTTTGCTTTCTTATCAGGCTCTTAAAATCTAGAACCTTTAATTTGGTTCTTCTCCTGAACATTCATTTGTAATTTTAAAAGATGTTTAATCAACTGATATTTATTTTTTTAATAGATCTTTACTGGAGTATAATTGCTTCACAATACCGTGTTAGTTTCTGTTGTACACCAAAGTGAATCAGCCATGTGCATACACATGTCCCCATATCCCCTCCCTCCTGAACCTCCCTCCCACCCTCCCTATCCCACCCCTCTAGGTCATCGCAAAGCACCAAAGTCTGTCACACAGACTGAAGTAAGTCAGAAAGAGAAAAACAAATACCGTATGCTAACCCATATATATGGAATCTTAAAAAAAAAAAAAAAAAATGGTACTGACATTTATTTTTTAATTGCAGCTGTAAAGGAGAAAGTCCAGCTGTCATTACAAAGGAGGCAAGTGTACTCCATGAGTTATTTGGAACAGACATAAGGTGCTGTGCAAGAAATGAGCTGGGCAGGGAATGTACGAAACTCTTCACTATTGGTAAGACCATAGCATCACGTTGTTCTGTTCTCAGGGAGTGTTCCTTAGAGATGAGCTGGGACTAATCATCACCCCTTAGGTCCTTACTCAATTTCAAACATTCTATAGCTCCTTCAGGCCATTTCCAGTGTAATATTTAGATTTCTGTGAGTGCTCATTTCTTCATAAGAGCCTTGTCGGTCTCTGAAAGACTCTTTTATTTTGAGATGGTTGGGAACATTTGAGATGCCATCAAAATCTTTGTTCTGCAGAATGTTCAGGATATATCTTGTGATGAGGAAAAAAAAAAATCACTATTTTTCTTACCTGGGGTGTTTTCATCTTCTAGATCTAAACCAAACTCCTCAGACCACACCGCCACAATTATTTCTTAAAGTAGGGGAACCCTTATGGATAAGGTGCAAAGCTGTTCATGTGAACCATGGATTCGGGCTCAGCTGGGAATTAGAGAATAAAGCACTGGAAGAGGTGAGAGGATGAGCTTCCATCCTGAAAATGCAGAAAAATGAACCAAGAGTCCAGGTGGAAATCACTCCATTCAAACTCTGTTTTATTAAAATCTAGGGCAGCTACTTTGAGATGAGTACCTATTCCACAAACAGAACTATGATACGGATTCTGTTTGCTTTTGTATCATCAGTGGGAAGAAACGACACTGGCTATTACACTTGCTCCTCTTCAGAGCATCCCAGTAAATCAGCTTTGGTCACCATCCTAGGTAATGCGGGCTGCGCACGTAACCTGTACTCACGTTTTTAGTTGTTTTAGTGTGGAATGTAGGGCAGGTACTGCAAATTCTGCTTTCAGTATAATGTTAGTATCAAAAAGCTGAGAAAGAAACTGAATTAGGGGAGTTTTGTAAGTACAAGCTGCCCCTTCCTTTCCTTTTCTGGTTAAACCAAGCCCGCTTGAATGCCACTGTCTTTGCAGGTAGCACGTTGTAATGTGACCCTCTGTTTGTGGATTTTTGTCTTCCAGTAGGCTGGAAGTTTCCTAAGGACAGGAATAATCCCTTCTATCCTATACTCCCAGACCTGGCAGAGAACCAGACACAAACTCGACCCTTATTAAGCACTTGTTCTAAGAACTACCTGAGAACTGCCTCTCAGGGGTAGAGAGCAATGGCTGAGAGGGTGGGACACGCACTTAGATGCATGGAAGTTTGGGTGGGCTCTGTAGGATCTGACAATAATCACGCTTTATGTAATCTTGGAGTAGGTGGCAGCCTTCGGCCATCATGAAAATGCTAAGAAGTGAAGGGATCCTCTTATTCAACTAATAAGGAAGTGTTCCATAGGGAAACCTTGTGAATATCTCTGGCTAGACTATTCTATTTGTGACCTGAGATTATTTTATGCGGGATGTGTCACGAGGGGGCCATTCTGGTTGAGGACAGGGATCGTCAGTGGGCCCCTCTGTGTCCATGGTTGGCCAGGCTGGGGGGAAGCCCTTCAAGCCCTTGAACTTGTCAGCAAAATCTATAGGTTTACTTATACATTTCCTTGGGAAGAGTGTCAATTATTTGCATCTAATGCTGAGAGGAATCAGAAGGTGACATGCTCAGGCTTATCAATGGGGACAGGACTCCTGCGTTTCTTGTTAAACTATCAAATCTGAGTTTTCTTGCATAAAACTGCTGAATAAAAATTGATTTATCCTCTCAATATATTTCCTCCATATGAATCTCATTATCTAACTTAAAAATGCATTTTTTTTAACAGAAAAGGGATTTATAAACGCTTCCAAATCAAGTGAAGATTATGAAATTGACCAGTATGAAGAGTTTTGTTTTTCTGTCAGGTTTAAAGCATACCCACAAATCAGATGTACGTGGACCTTCTCTCGAAAAGCATTTCCTTGTGAGCAAAGTGGCCTGGATGACGGGTACAGGTGAGCAAACTCAGCCCGGGACACATCCTCACTCTCGGCACAACCCTTCTGGTTGCCCTCGAGAAGAGCGGTTTTGTATTATAAGTTTATGCGCTGTGACGTTGACATTGAAGGCGAGAAAGCAAACGGCAGATGTGAGGACACAGTAACAGCACTTTCATCGGTTCAGATAGTGTAACCCACTGCACGAAAAATGGAAAGGATCATATCAGTCTGAGTCTGGCATTTTCTGAGTCACCAGATTGCTACTTCCCATTTGAGGGTACATACTATTGGTACACGGAGCCTCTCTCAGCCCGTTTGCAGATGACTGAGGAAGTAAAACCCCTTAAAAACAGGAAAACACTACCTATAGGTGTGTTGATTTAAGTTTTCAAAAATAAATGCAGAAATAGCCCAATGATGAGTGCTGAAGGAAAATCTTATTTTCCTGGGGATTTGTCCAACTGCAGTCAAGTTTCTCTTTGGAAAAAAAAAAAAAAAAAGAACTCTCTTTTTTTTTAAATTGAAGTATAGTTAATTTACAATGTTGGGTTAGTTTCAAGTGTACAGCACAGTGATTCGTTTGTACATACATACATACATATATATTCTTTTTCAGATTCTTTTCTATTATAGGTTATTACAAGATACTGAGTCCAGTTCCCTGTGCTATACAATAGGTCCTTGTTGTTTAACTATTTTACATATAGTAGTGTGTATATGTTAATCCCAAACTCCTAATTTATCTCTCTCCCCCCCCAAAAAACAGCTCTTCCTTGTATTTCCTATGGCTGTGATACCCCTTATCTCTTAAAACTAATCCTAGGTAACAGGGTTTCAGGATAGACTGTGAGCTGAGAGGTACCTGTCATCTCTCCAGCGAGTCAGTGGTCGAGAGTCAATCACTGATGCTCAATAACGGGTCCATAAACCACTGTAAAGGAATCAGCTGAATCACTGAATCAGAGTCAGTGGATTCCTGACTCCCGTTCCAAACATGCTGAACTAAAATCGAGGCACGATCCCAGATTCTGCATTTTTCTTTTTATTTTTTTGGCTGCACCACTTGGCATGCAGGATCTTAGTTCCTCGACCAGGGATTGAACCCACGCCCCCTGCAGTGGAAGCACGGAGGCTTAACCACTGGACCATCAGGGAAGTCCCCCCAGGTTCCACATTGTTAATGAGAACCTCTGGTGATTCCCATCACGGGTCTGGATCTGTGCTGTTCAGTACAGTAGCCGGCAGCCACATATGGCTATTGGGAGCTTGAAATGCAGCTGGTCCCAATGGAGATGTTGTGTGGCTGTAACATGCACAGCAGATTTTGAAGCCTTCGTATGACAAACAAAATGTAAAATACCTCGATAACTTTTGTCTTGATTTTATGTTAAAATGACAATGTTTTAGATATATTGAGTTAAATAAAATCTATTATTACCATTTACTCCTTTTTACTTTTTAGATAGCTAATTGGAAACTTTAAAATTACATAAGTGGCTTGTTTGGTTTTTTTAATAAATTTCATTTATTTATTTATTTATTTATATTTGGCTGCGTTGGGTCTTCGTTGCTGCGCGCAGGCTTTCTCTAGTTGCGGCGAGCGGGAGCCACTCTTCATTGTGGTGCACGGGCTTCTCATCGCGGTGGCTTCCCCTGTTGCGGAGCACGGGCTCTAGGCGTGCGGGCTTCAGTAGTTGTGGCTCACGGGCTCTAGAGCGCAGGCTCAGCAGTTGTGGCACACGGGCTTAGTTGCTCCGCGGCATGTGGGATCTTCCCGGGCCAGGGCTCGAACCCATGTCCCCTGCATTGGCAGGCGGATTCTTAACCACTGCGCCACCAGGGGAGCCCGAAGCGGCTTGTTTATATTCCTATTGGATAGCACGGGTCTAGGTGAAGAGTCAGAATAAGCTCTTTTCATCTTGATTCTTCCGTTTGTTTCCTGATGACTGCGCTGTTCTATACCCCAAAGTGATTTGTGACTGACCCTTGTTTGCTTTTTTAAGAAGAGCTGTAACGCAGGGTTTACATGGCATCGTCTGCCTTCTCACCCAAACCTCCTAATGTGCGAAGCATTCATTTTTCAAGTAATTAAGAAAGCAACCTTTGGACGGACACGTAGTCCCCTAATTCAGGGATTCTCAACAGCAGGCTGTTGACATCCTGGGCCGGGTAATCCTTCATTCTGGGGGTCTCCTATGCATGATAGGATGTTTAGCAACGTCCCTGGTCTCCACCCATTGGATGTCAGTAGCACCACTACCCCAAGTTGTGACAACCAAAAATACCTCCCTGGTGAGAAAGTCCCCTGGTGAGAAAAAATTGCCTGGGGTTGAGGACCACTGCCGTGGAGGGGTCACCCCATTGTCATAAGCCCTTATGCTGAACCATCAAACTTTTGAAAGTGGAAGGCAGGGGGTCAGCCCCTCTCCTGTTAGTTGAGTTGACTACCTGTGTTCAGGATGTCAGTGCCGTCACTTTCCCCATCCTTCTTTGTATTGTGACCCCCTGTCAGAGAAGCTCTTAGTTCTACCGGATTCTCTTTTGAACCTGATTCAAAGAGATAGAGGATCCATTCCATTTAGTTCAACAAATATTCCTTTAATGTCTTCTTGATGATCTCAATGCCATAAGGGGCTACAAACGTGAATAAGGGGATGTCTCCCCCCAACCCCCTCAAGTTATACAGGCACATTTAAGTGCCAGGGGCCACCTGCGAGGTCATTGCTGCTTGTGCTGGTGACATCTGGCACAATTCTTAAGATTTGACAGACTCACTAATTAGAGGACTGTGTCTCTGATCTATGGGTTTTGGAGCAATCTAGTGGGCTAGTTAATCTTGTTTCATCCCATGATCATACTCTGCACCCCTGACCCCAAGTAGTTATCTTCTGGAGGCAGCTAAATGAATAAATCAGGGCAGATCCTGATTTCTATAGTGATGTGTACCTCTCATTCAAAGTTAACCTCTTTTTGTGTTGAATCCCAACAGTGAGTTCATAACCTCCATTGGGATAGGTGCTGTCATTTCTCTGTCTTTGTACAACGCCTCGTGCAGTCAACAGCTGTTGAGTAAATGAATGAATTCATCATCACCCCTAGAAAGCAACTCAAAGTGCATAGCCTGGGCCAAAGATAAGTCAGTGGCATACTCTTTGCACTGCAGGGACCATGACACTCACCACAACACCTAGCACATGGCACTCACCACAACACCTATCACTCAGTGTTTATTGTATTTAAAAAGTTCCTGAAGAACTACAGTATTAATTGGTGATAACGATGCACTGGGTGTGATGGGCCACTTGCCAAGGTGAGATGGAGTCTCCTTCATCATGAAAAAGATGCTCAAAATGTTGAATAAAAGATGAACTGCAGGGGTGGGGGATGAATTGGGAGATTAGGATTGACATATATACAATACTATGTATAAAATAGATAACTACTGAGAACCTACTGAGAACCTCTGTGTGTATAGCACAGAGAACTCTACTCAATGCTCTGTGGTGACCTAAATGGGAAGGAAATCCAAAAAAGAGGAGATATATGTATATGTACAGCTGATTCACTTTGCTGTACAGCAGAAACTAACACAACATTGTAAAGCAACTATACTCCAATAAAAATAAATTAAAGAAAAAAAAGGATGAACTACAAAAATATTGAACACAAGTGCTCTAAATGTCATCTGCTCTCCACGTGAGGCTCTGTGTTGTGATAGGGGATGCAGACTAAATTCGAACCTGAGTTCTTTTCCATTTTTTTATTATAAAAAGTTCCAAATTTACTAATAAACTAAAAGAATAGTACAGTGAGCATCCTTTACCCATCACTTAGGTTCAACAATTTAGTCAAACTGAATTTTGTTTATGAAGTACAGTATTTTCATCCTGGGGCAAGAGAGGACTTTATAAGCAAAGTGACACCAGTTTTTATTTGTAACCGAAAGGTCTGTGTAATAACAGTACTACTGAAAAAGCTTTGGTGTGGTCACAGCATGTGTGCCAGAAATCTTACAGCTTCCCCACCTTCACAGCTTCGTTTCTCCAATTTACTTCCTCAAATATGACACCAAACTTTATTAGGGCTTCCCTTTATGTGTTTACATTTTATGAAATCCTGACAGCCTGGTCTTGGGAAAAGGTTCTAGAATATTTCATCTTTTCGTTTGCCTAATTTTCTATCTCTGTAGACTTACTTATAAACAAATCTGCCTTAGCTTTTCCTAGTTTCACAGTTAAACACACACACACACACACAATACGACTTATTAGGATGTTATAATTATTTAAATAAGTTCTTCTGAAAGAGTCTCCTGAGGCATGCCCAATCCCTGTATTTTCTTTTTTCCCTGAAATATTTAATTTCCCAACTCTACCAAGTCGAAGTTCTGCCCACAACAGGCATTAACTGAGCACTTATTGGTACCAGTGGTGTGGTGGAGTCCGGGTTCTGGGTGGTGAGACATATTTCTTCTTAGGACAAAGAGAAAAACAAACTCTCAAGTCGATAAATGATATGTGATTACAGGAGTGTATCGAGCTTCTTTAGGAGGACTTTTTTAGTTCCCTGAAGGAGATGAACCCTGAATGTATACAGAAAGGAAGGAAAGACGTTTGGGGACCGTAAATAGCGGTTAATAGAGGTAAATAGCGGAACCTCCAACCAAACCCTGCCCCCTCAATTGTAAGATACTAACCACATCATGAAGCCTCACTGAGACCAAAAGAAACTTCTTTGAGCCCTACCATGTGCCGATGTGCAGAGTCCTTTATGCGGATCATCTCCTTTGATCCTCATCATCTCATTTTATTAAATATGGAAACAGGCTATGCTACTTGCCCCATACCTAGGGCAAAGTCATACCTTTCATTCACTTTTATTTTCTGAAATTGCCTTTAAAAAAAAAAAAAAAAAGAAATAGGGCTTCCCTGGTGGCGCAGTGGTTGAGAGTCCGCCTGCCAATGCAGGGGACACGGGTTCGTGCCCCGGTCCGGGAAGATCCCACATGCCGCGGAGCGGCTGGGCCCGTGAGCCATGGCCGCTGAGCCTGCGCGTCCGGAAAAAAAAAAAAAAAAAAAGAAATAACACCCATAATTCCACCACCAGGAATTATGTTTCAGACTTTGTAACCACCATGATAGAAACATAAGTATAGGATTTTGTACAAACAGGAAATTAATTGTGCCATTTGTCACCTGATTTTTCACTTTAAAAATATCATCTCTTGCTGTGTTAATAAGTACATTATTATTATTTATATTATCATTTTAATGGCTTACCTTATTTACATTACCACTTTTATGGTGACACAGTATTCCTTTTTTTAGAAAATTTTATTTTGACTAACTCCTGTTGATGGGCATTTACTTTAGTTTTTTTTTTTTTCTCTTTGCATCTTTATTTTAATGTGATTTTCTCACTTAATGTATACCCCAGAGTAAAGGTTCTAAATGTCTTTTTTTTTTTTTTTTTTTTATAAATGTATTTATTTATTTATTTTTGGCTGTGTTGGGTCATGGGCTTTCTCTAGTTGCTGCGAGCAGGGGCTACTCTTTGTTGCAGTGCACGGGCTTCTCATTGTGGCACGGGCTTCAGTAGTTGTGGCTCGCAGGCTCCAGAGCGCAGGCTCAGGAGTTGTGGCACACGGGCTTAGTTGCTCCGCGGCATGTGAGATCCTCCCAGACCAGGGCTTGAACCCATGTCCCCTGCACTGGCAGGCGGATTCTCAGCCACTGCGCCACCAGGGAAGCCCCTAAATGTCTTTTTTATTCAAAATGATTCCCGGACTTCATAAGCCTCATAGTAATGACAATCTAACACATTTATCGTGTTTACTAGGCACTGTCATAAGCAGTTTATACAAAACCGTTTTAATAAAAACTCAACAAAAACTTCTCCTCTAACAACCATAAAAGGTAGACACTATCTTCGTTTTACGGATGAGGAAACAAGCACAGAGAGACTCAGTGACTTGCCCACGGTCACACCACCGGGCAGTGGCAGAGTTGCCTGCAAAGCCTGTGTTTTTAACCATCACTCTGGTACTGCCTTTTGACACCAGCTCATTTCAAAAGTGTGAGATTCTCATACCTAGTGTGTAAGAAAACAGAAAAGCAGGCATGTGCTTTGGTTATTTGAAAAGAGAAGTGTGCTGCCTTATGAGATGTGCTGGGCTTCGCTCTTGGGATTTTAATGATTATGTAATACTTCCCCAGGCTTGTGGGCTCCCCTGAAATAAAATACAAATGAGCATGGTATTAAGTAGATTGATATAAAGTCATCAGCACCTCTCCTGCCCCCTGCCCGGCTTTCTTTGTTTAACTCTGGACAGAAATGTGTGCAGACTGGGTTCAACTTCAGCCAGGCTGTACCCCCTCCATGTCCTGCAGTCTGAGGGGGCAGGATCTGCTGATGGGGGTCTCCCAGTGCCGGGTAAAGTCACTCGCTCCTGCCAGCCCCTCACTCTCCAGTTTCAGAAGCTCCCAGCTTCCCCAGTCTGTGCTTTATTATTCCCTGTTTTCTGGTTTGACTTTTATCATCCCTTGCTCTTTGAATAAAGCATTTTTTATAGTGAAGTTACTCCCTGAGCTGCTGGAAAGACCTGCCCCTTTTCAACTCCCCAGCTCTGGGCACTAAATGGAATAGAAAAATCACCTGCATTTTGCTTGTAACAGAGGAGAAATCCCTTCTCGTAGTTGTAATGAGAATACATCTTCTTAGTCACCAAAGATATTTCAGCTGTGAACTCCAGTTTCCTGATCTCCCATCTCATGGCCGCTGGGCATTTTCAGAAAAACCCCAGGGAAAAAGGAAGTTTGCAACTCCCTGGTACTAATCGGTTAGTCCCCTTGGAATTTCCAGGGGAGGGTCGGCGATGCAGTTGTTGCTTTTGCTGGGGTTAACTGCCATAAACAGGAAGACAGGCGGTTGAGAAGGATCTCGATATTCCATTTTGTGTTCAGGCTATTTTTGTGACCGATTTCCTACCTGGAAGAATGAGAACGTTTCAGATGCTCTCTCGTCTATCCCATGGCCAGTCATGCTCCATTCAGACAGCACAAAAGACTTAGGAGGGAAAACGTTTACAAAACAGATTGGTCTGCGTGATAATCAATAGTTGTATAGGTAATTTCTTTTTTTTAATGTTAATTTTTATTGGATTATAGTTGCTCTATAATGTTGTGTTAGTTTCTGCTCTACAGCAAAGTGAATCAGCTATATGTATACATATATCTCCTCTTTTTTTGGATTTCCTTCCCATTTAGGTCACCACAGAGCATTGAGTAGAGTTCCCTGTTCTCATTAGCTGGTAATTTCTTTATCAAATTGATCGGTGCTTTTGGCATGGTCCCTGGCTAGCACACTGGCTTCTTTTTTATCTCTTCTCTTCTTCCTTTTCAGGGTCTTTGGCTATTGTCTGGTGAGAATTACATTTTCCCTTTTAGAAGCTCACATCTGTCTCTTCTTGGACCACTTAAACCCTGCCTTCATAAAGTCTGGAAATCACATGTACCTATACTTACTTTTCTCCCTAAAGTTATAATTTGTCTTTCCCGCGATCTTTCTGTCATTTCCAGTTCACCAGCCGGTTCCTTCTGGCTGTCCAGAAGTAGGTCAGGATAAGAATCTTCCTTTTCTGGGCTTCCCTGGTGGTGCAGTGGTTGAGCGTCTGCCTGTCGATGCAGGGGACACGGGTTCGTGTCCCGGTCCGGGAAGATCCCACATGCCGCGGAGCGGCTGGGCCCGTGAGCCATGGCTGCTGAGCCTGCGCTGAGCCTGCGCGTCCGGAGCCTGTGCTCCGCAACGGGAGAGGCCACAACAGTGAGAGGCCCGCGTACCACAAAAAAAAAAAAAAAAAAAGAAAAGAAAAAGAAACTCCGCATTCTGCTTTTTCAGCCTTCTTGTTAACAAGGCAAACAAAAAGCTTGTTCAGTGCTCACTTGATAGGAAATGAAATCTCCCATCACTATACACGGTCAGAATTACCTTTAAGCTTCCGAGTTAAGGATGCAGAACATTGGTGTCACATAAACCTGGGCTCAACATCTTCTCTATTGATTGCTAGGTGTGCGGTTTGACTCTTAGGAATCAGCTGGGACTCTGTTCTCTCCTTCCTCTTCACGTCCAATCCAGCACCTGCTGTTTCTTTTTGCCCTGGTGCCTCTTGGGTTGGCTGTTTCCTCTCCCTCCCCATTTTCCCTGCCTTGGACAACACTCATCTTTTCACAGTCTGAACTCTCAAATCTGAACTTTTACTTCTCCTCTCCTAAGATTTCCCACATTATACTGTAACTGCTCATTACTTGTCTGCCTTCGCCACCAAACTGTGAATTCTGTGAGAACAGAAACCTAGTTTTGTTAACTCTCTGTTGTATTCCCGATTCCTCCCACAAATAACCTCTACCATTGACAGGAGAAAGGATGAGTGAGTTCATGAATGAATGAATGACTTCCTAGGTTACCTCAACAGCTACCTCCAGACTTCCCCCCAATAAACTTTCCTGCTGCCATCACTCTAAACTAAAATACTGTTCATAACATTCCTCTCCTGCTCAGGAATCCACAGCATCTCCTCCCTGCTTTCTCCATCAGGTCGAAAGAATTAGGCTTGTTTTCCAAGGTCCCAGATCAGTTGGTGCCACCCTGCCCATTTAGCCCTCTGTTCCGCTCCATCCCACCCTGCACCTCTGCTCTAGCCAAGAAGCCTCCCCGTTTCTCTCCTTGTGGCCTTATGAGTTCCTGTCCCATGGCTTAAATCATTGCCGTTGCCCCCTGCTTGGATGTCTTTTCTTTACTCTCTCATAAAAACCAAGTCACCTCTAAAGACCTAGCTCAATTCCTGCTTCTATGAAGCCCTCTGAACTTTTCTCACGACACTGGCCTCTGCCTTCTTTGATCTTCTACGGGCCTTCAGTTTTATGCTTTCACTCTTCCACATAGGCAGGTTTTGTCCACCCACCTGGATTATGATATCTCTGAGGACCGGAGCCGTATTCATAGGTCTTTTGCATCCTACATAGTTCCTCCTGTTCACATTTCCTGTGTATGCATACTTTTTCTTTCCTTTTTTACTTCAAGTAGGCTATATAGAGGTGGCCTAATTCAGTATCTTCTGAGCAAGGCTTAGATTTTCTTATTCTAAGGGAAAGTTTTCTTCTATTTCTTCAATGCACGAAGGCACATTCACCAGCTCCTTGCTTCCCCACCTCTCCTATAATATCCACCAACCCATATACCTGCTAGGATTGGTGGGTGATCCCCAATACCATATACCTGGTAGGCTTGGGGGATGAGCACTCCAAGCAGATACTAGAGCCTGCTGAGGCCACTCAAAGACGTCTGTACTCAGTGGATTTGAGCCGTCATCACTGTCAATCACTGTGTAAGTCAAGGGTTGGTCATAGGTCCTGCCTTGGACTAATGTCAGAGAGCTATCCTTTCAGGAAGCTGGGGGGGTCCATGGGCTCCGCCACCTACCAAGGTTCTTCCATATTTCCAGGAAGTCAGACTAGTCTGGAATGTATGTAACAGTAGGGGCTGGAACCTTCTTGTCTCTCTTAGCAGCTCCAGCCTAGATCAGTGCTTCTCAACCTTTAATGTGCATGTGAATTCCACGGAGATCATCTTAAAATGCAGACTCTGAGCCAGTAGGTTTGGGGTGGGGCCTGAGATTTTGTATTTCTGGCAAGCTCCTAGATAATACCAAGGCTGATGCTGCCTGTTTGTGGACCACACTTTGAGTAGCAAGAGCATCTGGGAACCTCCCTGTCCACTGAACTTGAGAGAGCGAGTGTCTTCAGGAAGACTTACTCCCATGCACACCATTATTCATTTCAACATCTCCTCAAAGAATCTGGCTAAGTCTGTCTTTACTTCTTTTTCCAACAGCATATCTAAGTTTTGCAACCATAAACACCAGCCAGGACAATATATCTTCCATGCAGAAAACGATGACGCCCAGTTCACAAAAATGTTCACGCTGAATATAAGAAGTAAGTGAAGCTGTCGAGAAATTTTATTTTACGCTTGTAACTCCTTAATAATGTATTAACTCGGACCAGAAAGAGATAAGCCATGGCTTAGGGAAGGAATGCTACAAAAGTGTTTTGACATGCTGAAGTGTTTTGAAATTGTACTTTCATATCTACTGGCTTGTTGATATGCAGATCTCTTTCTGGGCTCATCCTTTGAAGCTAAGATGCTGATTCCATATCCTCTCTGAAGGTGCTTTACTGTGTGACTTTATTGATTTTAGTACTTTGAAAGGTCCTGTTAAGGAAAGACCAAAAGCCATACTACCTGCCATTTAGTTTTTTTAATAATCATGGTTTCTCTGGTCCATAAAAAGATGAGAGTCCATTTTGCTGGACTTTTTACAGGTGCTTCTCCTGAAGCTAAGACTCATTTAGATGGAGGTCTACACCTGAGCTCTCTCCAGGAGGGGTCTAGCAGGGGAAAAGGGGGTGCTCCCCAGAGAAGTTTAGGGCTGCCTGCACAAAAGGTGACACAAGGGGAAAGAGGACCCCCTCTTTGAGTCACCCTGCATGAGACACGCTCCCAGGAGCACAAACTGCGTAGAGTATGTGAGCAGCCTATATGAAGCTGACTTTGAAACCCTTTCTGGAAAGCACTGTACTTCATGAGCTTGATTTCCCTGTTGTTTTCTGCAGGGAAACCTCAAGTGCTCGCCGAGGCGTCGGCAAGTCAGGCTTCTTGCTCCTCTGACGGGTACCCGTTACCGTCTTGGACCTGGAAGAAGTGTTCAGACAAGTCTCCCAAGTAATGAAGACACTGGCCCCTCTTGTGTTAGAAGAACATCAAACTCTCTCTGACGTGTTGACTGTGTCTCATGAATTCAGTTTAAGAAGAAACGATGAAGCATTTAAAATGCTTACCTTCTGAGTCGACCGTAATTCTAAATGGTCATAGATTGTTTCTGATAACCTTTAATAGATGTCTCTTCAAAAATAAAAAAGATTAAAAAATAAATAAATAGATGTCTCTTGTAGACCCCACTAGAGAAACCCTCACTTCCAATCCGACGATAGCCCCACCCGTCTAAATTCTGTCTGCTGTTTCTTTTCAGCTGCACAGAAGAGATCACGGAAGGAATTTGGAATAAAAAGGCCAACAGAAAAGTATTTGGACAGTGGATATCAAGCAGCACCCTGAACATGAGCGAGGCCGTCAAAGGGTTCCTGGTGAAGTGCTGTGCATACAATTCCCTCGGCACGTCTTGTGAAACGATCCTTCTAAACTCACCAGGTAGACAGCCGTTGCTATTGTAACACACCACCTTCAGGAATTCGCTACTAGAAGTTAGTCCCTGTAGTTCGCTTTTATTTGGGAAGTTTTACAAGAGTGTATAGGTTCAGTGTGTGAGACGAGAAGGCTTTTTGAGTCAGGCAAGAATCCCCACTGAACATACATGTTTTGCAGTTCAAGGGCAGAGTGACTTCTCCTGACATCATTGTGACTCATGAATTCAAGTGATGTGGGTAGAGCAATAAGCTCCTAGCACAATGGACATCTACCAAGAAATCCAGCTCTAGGGAAACAGAGTTAGTAGTTTGGAGCCTCTACCACTTTCCATTTTGGTTAATCTCCTTATTTGCCTTTAGCTTCCCGTTTTATCATTTTGGGTTTGATATTTAGATCCCTCCTAAATTAAGCAATTCTGAAACCTGACCACCTACACTAATGGTTCAAAATCACCAGCGTCCCCAAACTAACTTCCCCACATTCGTATGACAGCTTCATAGTGGGAACACAAATTTCTTTTTTTTTTTTTAATTGAGGTAGAGTTGATTTACAATGTTGTGTTAGTTTCTGACGTACAGCTAAGTGATGCAGTTTTATATAAACATATATACATTCTTTTTCAGATTCTTTTCCATTAAAGTTTATTACAAAATATTGAATATAGTTCCCTGGGCTATACAGTAGGACTGTGTTGTTTATCTAGTTTATATATAGTAGACGAACATCTTTTTTATATGACTTTCACATCCTGTGGGTTTAAATAGATGTAATTCTTAAACCCCTTAGTAAATGATGTTTTAAAATGGGTTCAGAATCATTTAAAATTTTCTGGGAAGGAATCGTTCTTTATATGAACATGGCCTGATTTTCTGTGGTGATAGCGTATTAGTAGAGGGCTTGTAGGCTCCTCAGACAGGATGTGAGACACTGTAACGAGCATTCTGCCACAGTATCCACCAGGAATTCTCATCCACTGCTCCTTGATGCTCTTCCCTTGCAGGCCCCTTCCCTTTCATCCAGGACAACATCTCATTCTATGCAACAGTTGGCCTCTGTCTTCCCTTCATTGCCGTTTTAACCATGCTAATTTGTCACAAGTACAAAAAGGTAAACGCAAAGGTAAAACGTCATCATTGTGTCCCATTTCTGAAGAACTCTCTATGGCTAATCGACTCATTATTTCATCTCTGAAGCAATTTCGGTACGAAAGCCAGCTACAGATGGTGCAGGTGACCGGCTCTCTGGATAATGAGTACTTCTACATTGATTTCAGAGAATACGAATATGATCTCAAATGGGAGTTTCCAAGAGAAAATTTAGAATTTGGTAAGAATCAGGTGTTCCAAATGCTTCTGTCAAGTTTCCTTCTTGTTGGAAAATCTTCAACATGCACTCACTCACCATGTGTCTTGCAGGGAAGGTCCTGGGATCGGGTGCTTTTGGGAAAGTGATGAATGCAACCGCCTATGGAATCAGTAAGACAGGGGTCTCAATCCAGGTCGCAGTCAAAATGCTGAAAGGTATGGTTACATCGATCAATAGCCACAGAGACGCACAAAGAGGGGAGGTGACGCCTCCCACCTCCTCTTTTCCATCATTGCTATGGTTACTGCTTGCCATCCTTCAAAGCTAAAAAGGGAGCGAGTTGGGGTGGGTGTCAACTAAGTCACGAATATAAAATACAAGTCGTGAACACAAAACGCCACCTCTTCGTCCTCTTCTCTCTTTGTTTAGGTTTTTTCAGCCTCAATATTTGGGGATACCATTGCTACAAGCAGCTGTGTGTCTTACATTTCGACACAGACTCTGGGTAGAAGAGGGAATTGGCGCCTTCTGTATCACTTCCCACTCATTTCTCATCCGCTGCCTCCTGGCTCTCCCTAACCTCCTCCCATTAGTATCACTCACTTAGCAAGAGCGCCCCCAGCTGGCTTTGGCTAAGCGATCAGTGACCATCACCTCCACCATCACCACGAACCAAGCCTAATGGGCATTACTTGAATTTTTAGCAGATATTGGCACGATTGACCGTTCCCTCCATCTTTATTGTGTTTTCTTCCTTTGGTTTCCACGTCACCATATTCTTCTGGTTTCCTCCTACCCCTCTGACTGCTTCACAGTCCTTTGCTGGCCCCTCATCTTCTCACGCAGCTTCTCACCCAACGGAGTTCCTGAAGACTTGCTCCTGGCCCCCTTCCCTTTTCACTCCGCATGCTCATGGGCTGTCTCAGCTTACCCGTGACCTCCTCCCATGTACCAGTGGTTCTCACGATTGCACCTCCCTTCTGAGCTTCAGGTTATGTCCAAGTGCTTGGACGTCTCCAGAGTCCCTTGAATTCAGCTTATCCAAAGTGGACTCCTCCAACCCTGGCTCTCTGTCAGCCCTCCCTCTCTCACTGATTGGTTGCGAGTACCAATGACCGGCCATGAGCCACCCAGGCAGGCCAGCCAGAAACCTAGGACTGACTCATCCTTGGAACCATCCTCATTCTAATTCCCTGTAGGCTATTCCTGTCAGGCTTCCTGACAGGTGCCTCTTGAGTTATCCTCTTTTCTCTTAACCTCTGTTACTACCACCCAGACCAAGTCTATCCCTTCCGAATGGATGCACTAGCCTTCCAAGCAACTACTCTATATGGACTCTTACCTCCTTTAGGATTCTGAAGCCCAAGTGATGGTTATGAAATGCAAAGCAGAGCACATAATTTTCCTGCTTAACCTTTCCAGTTGCTTTTAATTTCTCTTGAACGGTCCACACAGCCCAGCACGACATGGCAGCAGCTCGCCTCTCCCTTCTCACCCCAGCGCTACAGCACAGCCGGCTCTCAGTTCCTCTGGAGTACCGTGCTCCCTCCCACCACAGGGCCTTTGCACAGGTCGTCCTTCCACTTCCGCTTCCCCTTTCACGTCTTTATCTCCTGCTCCTCCTGTAGGTCTCAACTCAGATACCACTTGCTCAGGGAAGCCTTCTCTCACGCCACGGATGAGCTCAAGTTCCTTGCTAGATCCTATATCCCAGCTCTCTGTGGGCTTTTTTACCCCCGTAAAGTTGATCACAACTACAATTACATATTTGTTTAATTATTTAACTAATGTCTTAGCTGCCTCCGTAGTCTGTCAGCCTCATGAGGGTGGGTCTGTATGTTTTGCTATGCTGTCCTCTTTCTTGATCTTGGCCCATCCTGTTTTCAGGATGGCGTGTTCTTCTTCATCCTTCCCGCTGTGAATTCACCTGGTTAACTCCTAGTTTCCCTCAGGTCTCAGCGTAGACATTTGGTGTCCCCTTCCCCACCCTCCCTAAGGCTGGGTTAGGTGTCCCTCTTCTGTGGGACAACACCCCTACTTTCATTTGCCATGTGGCATTTATTTTTTATTTTTATTTATTGAAGTATAGTTGATTTACAATGTCATATTAGTTTCTGCTGTACAGCAAAGTGATTCAATTATACATACGTATACATTCTTTTTTATATTTTTTTCCGTTACGATTTATCACAAGATACTGATTATAGTTCCCTGTGCTATAGAGTAGGACCTTGTTGTGTTTCCATTCTATATCTGATAGTTTGCATCTGCTAATCCCAAACTCCCAGTCCATCCCTCCCCGACCCCCCTCCCTCTTGGCTGCTATAAATCTGTTCTTTATGTCTGTGAGTCTGTTTCTGTTTCATAGATAGGTTCATTTGTGCCGTGTGGCATTTATGACACTCTATTGTAATTGTTCATTTACCTGTTCCCCCTTTCAAGGAGGCTCTAAGCTCCAGGAAGACAGGGGCTGTGTCTTTCTATCATTTCTTCCCCCAAGGCCTGGCACATTGCCTCATACACAGTAGGCATTCAATAAATTCTTGTTGAATGAATGAAAGTCAGGTAGTGGTATATGAAAGTGCTTTGAAAGGGTTAAGCACACTGTAAAAATATATGCTTTTGGTCACGAGAAACAAGACATGGACGACTGAAAGCCACGAATCCCTATAAAACATGAGGCAGTGGGAAACCTGAGGTACAGTGGGTCCCAGTGCACACAGTGAAGGATGTCACTCCCAAGCCAAGAAGCTGGAAATTAGGATGCCCCTGAGAGCTCACACAGGTCAAAACAGATGACATCAAAGCTCTGGGAAAGCCACATAAAGGCTACGTGTCTTCCAGGACAAAATAATGACACCTGGAAATAGCTAATCAAATGTCCATTGAATGCAAAGAAAAGTTACTCTATCTGTAAGAAAGAATATGTTAACAGACTGGGCTGCGGGGGGCGGGGCGTGTGCCTGGAGAGGGAGGCCCAGAGACCTTGCCCTTGCCTCTAGGGCTCCAGCACCCTCCCGGGCAGGGGTGTCCTGACCACCTGGGCACATTGGCCTCAATGACAGGAGACCTTTCAGTTCACCAGTAAGTACCTCCATGCTACACTTCTAAGCAAGGTAATGGATACAATTTGCCAAGCTCTATAGATTTACTCCAGGGAGAGCAAGTGGATACGTTCTAGCCTACCCAGCAGTTCTGTTCCTCATGGGCAATTAGGGACTCTCTTGAGAACTTGGTCAGTGGGAATTGGTCTTCTTTGACCTTCTCACCATTGGATCCACTGACAAATTTAAGATTCTAGACCTGAGGGTCACAGGCTGGAACCAACCACCCTTGCTGACATTCCCATCTTGTCACTCTATGACTTCAACAAATAAAGGTGTCAAAAAAAAAAAAAAAGTATGTTTCTCCCTTCAGCATAGTTATTAACTTCAACTGTGGAGGAAAATCATGTATTATTATTATTTTGTTTTATTTTAGTTTTTAAGGGTCAATTATAAAGATTTTTATTTTGTAGGTAGAGGAAAGTCCAGTAGAAAGGCACATTATTTGGTTCAACGTTCATGCAACAATCTTTGAAATTCTGCCTTAAAACATAGGGTATTATTATTCAAAATGTGTGTATTATTGTACGTATTTTAAAACTTGTGTGCAAATCTACTCTGAACTGAGGAAAATTTAAATTTATTGAATAACCTAAAATACCTAATTTCCTTCATTTTACATTTGTGATGCCCTGCCATGGACAGAAAAAGCAGACAGCTCGGAAAGAGAGGCTCTCATGTCTGAACTCAAAATGATGACCCACCTGGGCAGCCACGAGAATATTGTGAATCTGCTGGGGGCGTGCACCCTGTCAGGTAACCAGTTCCCACTAAGAACACCTAATCGAAAACGTTTCAGCCTGAAGACAAAAAGGGCGTTTGTTCTCGTGTTTCTCTCGTTCTCTCAGTCACAGGGTGGGCCCCCAAACCCAAGTGGGATTGGACACACCTCACTCTAGAGTCAGATGGGTCAGTGTAGACAACGCCTGTCTTCATCGGGATGAGCCACATATTCTAAAAGGGACTTCCCTGGTGGTTCAGCGGTTAGGATTCTGGGCTTTCACTGCCTTGGCCCAGGTTCAATCCCTGGTCGGGGAACTAAGATCCTGCAAGCCACGTGGCACAGCCAAAAAAAACCCACAATAGTAATAACAACGCTGCAAGTACATTTTGTGGTGTCTCTCTACCTGCTCAGAGGGCGCTTCTCCCTGGCTGTGGAGCTGGCCCCGATGCAGTGCTGAGCTGCACAGCTTGGCCATGGCCCTAACTGAGCTGCTTCAAGTAAGGCGTAGCCAAGGAGGGGTTTCAAACTCTATTCTCCCAGAATCCAACAGAGCACGTGCTCTGATCCCCTCGCTTCTGCCTAGAAGTACCTGAACCCTGTGCCCAAGGGTCATTCCTTCTGGGACAGCCAGCCGGTTACTGGGACAGAGAAATAAAGAGAAAATGGATTTAAGAGGTGGCTAGGGATGTATTTCTCCCTCCTCGGGTAAACCGCCAATCAGCTTATATTTACCAAGTGCTCACAACGCAGTCAACCTATTATTCCCAGTTGCAAACTGGAGAATTTAGGTGGCCAGTGGTTCTTGGTGAGGCCACATGGGCCTCCAAGGAGTTTGAGCAAAAGTCTGAAATTGAATTTAAAGTCCAAGACGAGATAGGTTCAGAGAGAGCTGTACTCTCCCCAAGTCAGGGGAGAAGGGAGTTCTCACAGAGTATGGTTTCTGCCACACAGATGTCTGAAAAAAATTATTTGGTGTCTGTATACCTAGGATTAAAACTGTCACTATTTCAGGACCAATTTACTTGATTTTTGAATATTGTTGCTATGGCGACCTTCTCAACTATCTAAGAAGTAAAAGAGAAAAATTTCATAGGACGTGGACGGAGATTTTCAAGGAACATAATTTCAGTTTTTATCCCACTTTCCAATCACCCCCTAATTCCAGGTAAGAGACTGGGTCACAGTTTTATAATAATACATTACAGAACAGACAAAGTATGGTGGTTAAACACACCCCACTGGCCAGTTTCTAAAGGCCATCCTCCAGCATTTTGTGTGGTCTGTGGGTTCTAAGACCTAGAAAGGTCTCTTATCTTTCGTTATAGTTTCCCTGTTGATTTGAACAATGAGGCTTTCCCTTTCCTACAGTACAGGTACTGTAGCTGAACCAATTCTGTCCACCGGCGCCTAATCACCTCCTAGACATATATTCAGTTTTAGGAAAGGTGCATTATTCACTATGTCAGGCCTCCTGGCTGACACATGGGTATCGGTAGAAAGAATGAACCCCTTTCCCAAAGCCCTTGATATATTCCTAGAAAGTAGTGCAGGTCCTGGGAGTATTGCACAAAAGAGCTCTAAACTCATAAATCGGATTTTTAAAAATTAGGATGGATTGGTTGACATAATGATGGGGACAAAATAAAGTAGCGGTGACATTTGTCTCTATGCTCTGCCTTGTATGTTCTGCCATCTGTGGGATCCTGAGTGAGTCTCAGTCCCAAGAGGGCTGTAGGTTTGGCGGGATGCTCGTCCTTATCCTTGGAAATTTCCTGCTAATTACCTGAACGTCATAGCTCAATGACATCCTTCTCTGAATGAATTCACAGGCACTCTGATAGAATGATTCCTCAAGCCACAGTGCGTCCCTAGTTCCCTCCTACGTGAAACCTCTCCCTTTTTCTAAATGCAGATTTGTCAGAGACTGTTAGCTTCACTGGGGGACTTTTGGAGGATCCGTTTGAGATTCCTTGTTTTCTTAGCATGTAAGTTTCAGCTCACATCTCTGGCCTTCTAAAGGCTGAGACAGAGACCAGCATCTTAACACCAGGGACCCCATGGAAACCCCATGCATGTCTTTGTGCAGCTGCCCTTAATCATTTCACACCAAACTTCCCTTTTACACTCGTTTCTCAGTTCATATTCCCAAACTGAGAGGATTCTATAATGTCATCCGAATTCTAGAACAGAGAATCCGTGTGTGGCCAGGACTCCATGGTTAGTGACAACATGCTGGTCACTCAGTGCCTTTGATTCCTTCCAGTCACTGGGTATGAAACACACTGAAGCAATTACTTTTGGAATATTTGTGGTCTGAAAGCATTAAGCTATTTTCTAAAGATGTGGACATTGTAATTGGGGTAAACTGTTATGCTGGAATAAATTGAATCATTGTCTGTATATCATGTATACAAAATTCCTCAGTGAAGAGTTCTATATTATACACAGTAAAAGAGACTTTCCTTATTACTGTTTATTAATTTCACAGGAAAAGGGGATGAGCTTTACAAAGGCCAACGTGGAAAAAAAAAAAGGATGCTGAAACACTAAAAGGTCTCCATAGAAGATCTATAATACATGGACTTTTATAGGGAAAGTCACACTCTTTATTAGCTTCGTGATTTCAGCAAATCATATTTATCTCACCCAGCCTAGTTTTTCTTTTATAAAATGTGACTTTGACACCCAGCTTGGAGGGTTGTGGGAAGGATTGAGTGAGGTCCTCTTTGAACCATAAGATTCCATACAGATAACAGGGGTCACTCTTATCCTTGTTCGACAGACAGGCTCAATTACACAGATGTGTTTAATGTCCACACACACTAAAAGGACTGGTTGATGCCATGCTTTTAATTTAAAAGCCCATTTATAATTGGAATTCATTTATTTGATGAATTGTATTTTTTCTAATAAAATATGTACTCAGAAGAAGAACATAAATAATGAAATAACTTTTTTTTTAATAGTATGCCTGGTTCAAGAGAAGTCCAAATACACCCGGACTCAGATCCTGTCTCGGGGTTCAATGGGAATTCATTTCAATCTGAAGGTAATATTTTATTCTAAATAGTAGCACTTCCAAATAGAAATGGATACAAGAGTTCTGTGTTAGCTATTTTTAAAAAGTGTGTAAATGCAAAAGCATGTTTATCTTTGCTCATGTCATCTATAGGCTTTATTAATGCATATTTGCTTTATAGCATTTTTAAAAAATAAATTTATTTATGGCTGCATTGGGTCTTCATTGCTACGAGTGGACTTTCTCTAGTTGTGGAGAGCAGGGGCTACTCTTCGTTGCGGTGCGGGGGCTTCTCACTGTGGTGGCTTCTCTTGTTGCGGAGCACGGGCTCTAGGCACGTGGGCTTCACTAGTTGTGGCTCGTGGGCTCTAGAGCACAGGCTCAGTAGTTGTGGCGCACGGGCTTAGTTGCTCTGCGGCATGTGGGATCTTCCCAGACCAGTGATCGAACGGTGTCCCCTGCATTGGCAGGTGGATTCTTAACCACTGCACCACCGGGGAAGTCCCAATGCATATTTACTTTAAAGGTAGTGAAAAGCCACCAGTTTAGTGTGTGAATTTTATGTCAATGTTTCTACTAAGAAACACTGAGGGCTATTTTATTTGATCAGGTTATTCTTTTTAAAAGTCGTAAATTGGGACTTTCCTGGCAGTTCAGTGGTTAAGACTCTGCGCTTCCACTGCAGGGGGCATGGGTTCGATTCCTGATTGGGGAACTAAGATCCCACAAGCCACACAGTGTGGCAAAAAAAAGGAAAGGATTAACTAGAAGAACATTAAGGACTTCCCTGGTGGCGCAGGGTTAAGAATCCACCTGCCAATGCAGGGGACACTGTTCGATCCCTGGTCTGGGAAGATCCCACATGCCGCGGAGCAACTAAGCCCGTGCACCACAACTACTGAGCCTGCGCTCTAGAGCCCGCGAGCCACAACTGCTGAGCCTGCGTGCCACAACTACTGAAGCCCACGCGCCTAGAGTCCGTGCTCCGCAACAAGAGAAGCCACCGCAATGAGAAGCCCGCGCACCGCAACGAAGAGTAGCCCCCGCTCGCCGCAACTAGAGGAAGCCCGCGTGCAGCAATGAAGACCCAATGCAGCCATAAATAAATAAATAAATTTATTATTAAAAAAAAAAAAAACTTTAGTGGTGTCACACACACAATGAGGAGTTTCATTCCCCTTAAAAAAAAAAAAAACAACATTAAGTGCACAAACAGTTCATAAAATGTAGTAGATAATTGGTAATTCTTTTCCCAGTGTGACAAAACTACCTAGTGCAAAAGAAACCCCTGACTTATCCCCAGAGAGCTGGAGAATTCACTCCTCTAACCAAAGAGAATCTTTAGGTGACCCTTCCTGGGCTGCACAGTTCTCTGCATAAATAGCTTAGCCCTGGTGCCGCCAGGAAGATGATGTAATAGTTCCATTTGTACATGAGGTGCTCACAGAGATTTATAAGACAACTTCTTTTCTTTTTTTTAATTGAAGTGTAGCCGACGTACAATATTATATAAGTTACAGGTGTACTATATGGTGATTCACAATTTTAAAGGTTCTACTCCATTTACAGTCATTCCCTGTGTTGTGCAATATATCCTTGTAGCTTATTTTATACATAATAGTTTGTACCTCGAAATCCCCTCCCCCTATCTTGCCCCTCCCCCTTCCATAAGGCAACTTCTTTGCATTTTGGCAAAAATGAGGACCGGTTGTATTTTACAGATGAAATTGAATACGAAAACCAAAAAAGGCTGGAGGAAGAAGAGGACTTGAATGTACTTACCTTTGAAGATCTTCTTTGCTTTGCATATCAAGTGGCCAAAGGAATGGAATTTCTGGAATTTAAGTCGGTAAGCTCCTTTTAAAAACGAAACTCGCAATACCAACAAGAAGATAATTTTGAAGAAGAGATGTGGGGTTTTCTTTTTTTCTTGTTTATTTTAACTTGCAGCTCCTAAGGTCTGTCTTTCCCTCCTGTTCACAGTTGGAATCACCTAGGATGTTACATGGGCTCTTGGCTAATTATAGTATAAGGGTCAGGGATCCCTTATTAAATGACGGTTATCACAGCCCTCCCAGACGGTCCAACGTCCCTGAAGCTTCCAGATAGGAAGTCCTCAGGAATCCCTCCTCAAAACCAGGTGTAGCCCTGTCGGACAGTCACTTCAGGTTGTTTAGACTGTGTCCTACATTTGACCCAGGGGGTGAGCGGAGGCTCAGATCCCGGGTGCTCTTCAGGCCAAGCCAGCCGCCCAAAGCACCAGTGTCTCTTTTGAGAGTTTGCTGTGGGCTGGCAGCAGCCTTGTGGGTCTGCTAATCCCAGGTCCATTGGGGCTGTGATGTGAAGACCTCAGGGACCCCTCACACTGTGGACTCTACCCCAGTTTTGCACTCTTTCTATAATATTCTTTCAGTTCTGCTCTTCTCTGACATTTCAGGCGTCTGCTGCCTGTGAACCGATTTCAGCCATTCGTCTGGCTACTTTCTGTCCTCGATTTCTTCCCTTCCACTACTTCTCTTTATTTCCCCAACTTTTTCCTCTCCTTTTCCCTTTGGTCTCCTAGTCTCTTCCTCTCTCTCCTCCACTGCCCTCTCTTGGCCTCCTCTCTTCTCTTTCTCCCTGAATTTGGACAGAATAATTTCAGATGTATTTTTTTTTCTTTAAAAATGTACAGTCTCCAATATAATGTATTACATCAATTATATCCCAGTTTTAAGAAAAAGATTAATGTGAAATAAATCAATAGCTTTGAAGAACAAGAAAAAAACTCTATTCACGAGAGCAACCAAACTATGAAACAGGTTAAGATAAACAAGAAACACGTAAGATATATTTCTTTCATGAAGAAACCTGTGAAACTTGATTAAAGGGGAAAAAGGAAGACCTGAATAAATGAGTTCTGTTTTGTTCATATGGGAGAGATTCACCGTTTAAAAGAAAACTCAGTTCTCACCAGATTAATCTGTATATTTCTCACAACCCCAGTTAGAATCCCAAGGTTTTTTTTACTCATGGATATTGAAAGTACATGTTGCTGTCTTTTTTTTCTCTCTCCCTTTCTTCCTTCCTTCCTTCCTCCCTCTCTTCTTTCTTCCTTTCTTTCTATCTTTTCTTTCTTCCTTTCTTTCTTTCTTTCCTCCTTCCTTCCTTCCTTCCTTTCTTTCTCTTTCTTTTTTCTTTCTCTTTCTTTCTCTCTATCTTTTCTTTCTTCCTTTCTTTCTTTCTCTCTTTCCTCCTTCCTTCCTTCCTTCCTTTCTTTCTTTCTCTTTCTTTCTTTCTTTCTTTCCCTCCCTCCCTCCCTCCCTCCCTCCCTTCCTCCCTCCCTCCCTCCCTTCCTCCCTCCCTTCCTCCCTCCCTTCCTCCCTCCCTCCCTTCGTTTCTTCCTTTTTACTGACAGATCCTGGCCTCAGGTTTATTTGTTCCAATAGCACAGGACACCAGCCCCACGCAGACAGCAGCCCAGGGGTCACACCAGTCCTTCTGTTCCCACATTGGCAGATAAAGGCCTCTACTCTGGAGCCTTTGTGAGGGCCTAGGTATCTTTGGGAGCCTGAGCCGGAGCCGGAGCCGGAGCTGGAGCCGCAGCTGCAGCTGCAGCCTTGGCCTTGGTTTGAGCCTTGGCCTGGGACTTTGGCCGGCAGAACCCGAGACCCTTGGTGTCGCGGGAACGTTTCTTGAGCTTGGGGTGCGCAATGTAGGCCAGCTGACTGAGCTTGCGGCTGCTCCCTCTGGGACCTTGGGTTTGGCCTCCTTGGGCTTTCCGAGAGCCTTGATATCCTCATCAGTGCACGCGTGGGCCTGGCGTTGTTGGCCTGCATCTTCTACAGGCCCTTCTTTTTTTTTTTTTTTTTTTGGGTACGCGGGTCTCTCACTGCTGTGGCCTCTCCCGTTGCGGAGCACAGGCTCCGGACGCGCAGGCTCAGCGGCCATGGCTCACGGGCCCAGCTGCTCCGCGGCATGTGGGGTCTTCCTGGACCAGGGCACGAACCCGTGTCCCCTGCATCGGCAGGCGGACTCTCAACCACTGCGCCACCAGGGAAGCCCCTACAGGCCCTTCTTGTTGTGCCTCTTGGCAAAGGGCATGTTCCTCGGGAACTCGGGGTCCGCCCCCTTAGGAGATAGTTGTGATCGGGGTTTCTTGATGCCGTTTCCGGGCCATTTTGGGGACTGGCTGTTTATGCTATGGTTCTTGGACTTGGCCACGTCTGCACCGGGGCCACAGATACCGAAGCACCTGGGACCGAAGAGAAAGAGCTGCCGTCTTTACTTTTCTTTTCCACAGTTGGGCGTCCTCGTCCTTGCTCAACAGTGAAAAGAATCACTGTCTCAGAATCCTTCCCCACCCCAGTCCCCGGGCACTTTCCTCTCCTCGTGTTCCCTGCCGGCTATTGGAGTGTGTCTCCTCTCTCACCTCTGCGTCTACAGTAGCACTGACACCAGTTTCTTTACAGACATTGAAGGCATCTGCCTCGGCGGTCCAGCCCGGTTGCTGCCTGTTGTTAAGTAAATTCTCAAACTACTCACGATTGGAGGTCAAGGGCCACTGCCTTTTCTCCCCCTGGGCTTGTGATAATAAGAATGTTTTGAAGTATATCTGGTTTCTTGGAACTCCCTCCCATTTTCCCTTTAGGCCATCCCCGTTCTCTAATTGTGTTAAGCGGGGCCACTCTTCATTGCGGTGTGCGGTGTGCGGGCTTCTCATTGTAGTGGCTTCTCATTGTGGAGCACGGGCTCTAGGGCGCACGGGCTTCAGTAGTTGTGGCCCACGGGCTCAGTAGCTGTGGCTCACAGGCTCTAGAGCACAGGCTCAGTAGTTGTGGCACACAGGCTTAGTTGTTCCGCGGCATGTGGGATCTTCCCGGACCAGGGCTCGAACCCATGTCCCCTGCATTGGCAGGCAGATTCTTAACCACTGAGCCACCAGGGAAATCCCTGTTTCTTTTAAAATCTTCCTCCGTGGAGTTAATTTTCTTGCCAAACCACTCGAATTAAAGTCACGTCATCTCTCAATTCAGGAACTCTTTCTAATTCCACCTTAGTCAACCTTCCCAAACTTCTAGTACTTTCCCTCTTTTTTTGATATTATGCCATTTTATTGCCAAAGGTATTTTCCCATCAGAAAAGACACTGTCTCCACCCCACAGAAGAGTGCTCTGAAAACCCCGTTAGAGGCCCTGCTGCTGTGTCTCTTATTTATAGCAAGATATGCAGCTTGCTAGGGTTGACCTGCTTTCTCAGAACCCGGCCCCTTTGGCCTCTGGGAATGTTCCCTAAGCAGCACCAACGGCTGAAGCATTGTTCACGCGCTTAGTTACACATCGTGATGATTGCTCAGGGCCCAGTAAAGATAAGACACCTCGAGGAACGAGGAACGACGGTTCTGTCATCTGTAACTCCTACTGAACTTGAAATGAGAAGAAAGATTGTACTCTGTGATAATAGACATCACGGTAAATAACACTCCCAGTTTGTTCCTTCTAGTGTGTTCACAGAGACCTGGCAGCCAGGAATGTCCTTGTGACCCACGGGAAGGTGGTGAAGATCGGTGATTTTGGACTGGCTCGGGACATCATGAGCGATTCCAACTACGTGATCAGAGGCAATGTAAGGCTGCTTCTTCTCACGTAGTTTTATCCTGTTATTTTGTGTTTTTGTCATCACTAATCTAAACATCTGCACTCACTGTAGTGCATTTGTGATTTATGTTAACCTCAGAAAACTTCCTCCCAGCAGTTTGCTTTCTTGTGCTTCAAAGGTTTTTCTGCAGCTTCACGGAAATATTCCATCTGTAATAAAAGTGGAGCAAAATAGCATCACACCTAGCAATTAGGGGGCTTTGAGTGCAATCCACATCTTAAAAAAAAATCTCATTACTTAAAACTCATTTCAGTTCCTTCATCTATAAAGTGACTATTGAGTTATGCTTTCATTATGGGAATAGGTAATTGTTACAAGACAGCATTTTAAAAATACAACATGTAAATTAAATATTAAATATACATTTTAAAAAGGCACAGTATTTAAATCAAATGTTAGTTAATGAATATTTGTCATCCTCTTACTGTCACACAGGGAGACCTAAAACATCACTGAATCTACTTGTTAAAAAAACCTAAGGACACATGTGTCACTTATAAGAGAACTACTAAAAATACTAGATGATAAGATTGTGTATAGTTGGAAGGGTATGGTTTTTGAGAATTACATTGCCTGGATTTAAGCCCCTGTTCTTTCTGGCTGTTCATTTTTGTGATTTCTCTCTGCTTTATTGCCCCTACTTGTGAAGTAATAATAATAACAGATGCTGGTATTGTGCTTACCACGTGCTAAGTGCTATTCTAAGTGCTTGACGTGTATTGACTCATTTGGTCCTCAAAGTACCCATTTGTGGCTGAGGAAACTGAGGCACAGAAAAGTCACTTGCTCGTGATTACACAGCACATGGGTTAGAACATGCATGGTCTGAGCCCCACGTCTGTGCACGAGCGTGATGATACAGCATTTCCCATGAGGAGTATTCACTTACCGCAGAGCGTTTATGGGAATAAACCAACCAAACTCCGTTGTCCAATACATGTTGCAAATCAGATTAAACTGTGTTCCCGCTAGAATCAGACACACAGCTGATTTTGGATCTGCACTTCCCTCATTGTAGCTGCAGTCTTAAATAGGATGAACTAATAATGGCTATGAAGTTTCTACCCTACTAGCTGGTGGTTTCTTAAGCAGGAAAGGGAATTCCATTGGGAACCACAATTAATCCCTTTAATTCATCAGATTAACCAGACTAGCCTGCTTGATTCTCCCAGCTCATCCTTTTGAATAGGGTTTAAAACAGGGTATCTTTCTTGAGCTTTGATTTTACTTGGCAGATTAAATGTGCACCGTTAAGGGCTCTCAATCCCTGAAAAAGAAAATACTACAAGATGCTCAGCCCCAGGAACCTCTCCGTCCCCGTCCCCGTGTCTTGATTCTAACCTGAGGCTGTACTAATTCAAAACTCCCCTTTCACGCTACTGAGAATTACTAAAACCACAGAAACCCGCCTGGTGTCATTTCTGGAAGCGATGACGTAATGCTCCTCCCATCACATTCTTGTGGATGGCATTTCCACTAAAATTCTTCCGAGAAATGCCTTAACAAAGTACTCCACTCACCTCTGGGGCAGTGCCTGGCTGCAGCAGGAAGCCAGTGTCTACTGTGAAACTTACCAATGCCAAGTGCAAGCTTGAGTTTTAAAGAAATAAAGTTTGTTTGTTTAAGGCCACTATGTTACAATATTAATTTGAAAGTGAAAGAAAGCCCACTTGAGGAATACGATTTTCTCAAGGAAGCGTTAAATGTGGCCTTAGGGAGAGGATGAAAGTCATCACCTAGCTAACGAGAAAAGAAGGAATGCTTGTGCTGGAAAATTCACCATTGATCTCCGCTTGGGTTTGACACAGGCCCGTCTGCCTGTGAAGTGGATGGCTCCTGAAAGCTTGTTTGAGGGAATCTACACAATTAAGAGCGATGTCTGGTCATACGGAATATTACTCTGGGAAATATTCTCGCTTGGTAAGACTTGCAGTTCCCTGAGCCCCGGGCTTCTGCACTGTGCCCCCTCTGCACTCCTCCCCCGCTCCTAAGTCAAAGGGTGGAAGAAATGCCATGACCCAGAGCCCGCCTAGTCTTACTTCTGTTGCAGCCTGAGCCCCTTTCTTTTCACGTGCTGGTGTCCGTTGGTCTGTCCTGCCTGCCAGAACGTGGCTTCTCCTGCCCAGCACCCCACAGTGCTGGCCCAGGGAGCCACGATCCATCGTGTTTGCCAAATGAGTGACTAATAAACAACTGAAGGGTGAGTGGGTGGTTATAGGCCCTCTTGCTTTTCTCAGGTGTCAATCCTTACCCCGGGATTCCAGCTGATGCTAACTTCTACAAACTCATCCAGAGTGGATTTAAAATGGATCAGCCATTCTATGCCACGGAAGAAATGTAAGTGTAAGTCAGACCGTAAAGCGGCTGACATCGGAAATTTACAGCCTGTTTAGCTCCAGACCCATGAGAAAAAATGTAAAACTCTTTAGTATGAAGTTCCCATGATTCCTCTTAAGAAAAGGAAAGCAAAGCAAAGCAAAGAAAGGAAAAGAAAAGGAAAGGAAAGAAAACTCTTCCTTTTGGTTTCGGGGATTTCTGAACATAACTGAATGTTTTCTGGGTTTCAGCTCCTTTACTTGAGGGACCCTTCTCCTGAATTCCGGTCCACACTGTATTTGTCAAAATGCATCATCTAATTTGTCCTTTCTCATATGAGTTCAAAATCTAAGCTAGTCCTTGCCTCAGGACGAACATGCCATAAACAACTATCTCCACAGCAATAAATGGGGCTTCGTTAAGTGGAAAGTGACCCATTTTGCTTCATTCAGATTTCCTATCTTGCTTCTTCTGTTGTCTTCACAGATACTTCATAATGCAATCCTGCTGGGCTTTTGACTCAAGGAAACGGCCATCCTTTCCTAACCTGACTTCATTTTTAGGATGTCAGCTGGCAGATGCGGAAGAAGCGGTAGGTAGCAGCACAGCATCTTATAAAGTATCATTAGGAAGGAAAGAACTCTGTAACTCAGAACACTCATTGCTGATTTCCTAAGTGCCAAAGGTACCAAGTTGCCTTCCTCATCACAACTGGTCTAGGTTGCTCTTTAAAAGTTGTATGGGGTCAAACTCATAATCCTAAGCTCAGAACAAAGGGCCACCCATCCTTCAATATAATTAGATTAAGAAAAGCATTCAGAAAAGTAAAGCTGCTCTTGTCCTGAAAAAAAAAAAAAAAGTTGTATGGGGTTAGATATACTTACGGATAAGTGTTTTTAGGGGGAAAGTAAAAAAGAAAAACTTTTCCTGAAGATTTTAGCCAATTGATTAAGAAATTAAATGCTTTTAAGTGACCAGTGCAGAGGACCAAACAAATAAATAAAACGTAATCCCTGACCTCCAGAAGCCACTGACTTTACCTAATTCAGCATGAAGGTTTTGTGTGGAATAATCATACAACTCAATCATGTAATAGAGTGGAAAGAGCATCGACCTGGAGTCCTGAGAGCTTAATACCAGCACTGGGCCTTAGTTTTCTTACCTGTAAAATGGGTTGCTAAGCTAGATGACCTTTGAGCTTTGGGAACTGGGAATTACTTTGCTGATTCTCACCCTTAACAGTACCGCCTGATGTAGTTAGAGAAGTCATCCCCTAGACCAAATGAACAAAGGAACCTGGAACTCCCAATACCTCGGTTCAAATCTTGGCTCCGTTGTTTGCTTCTGATATGAGTTAATTAAGTCACTTAATCTTTGGGGGAGGGGTGGTCTCAGTTTCCTTATCTGAAATTTGGGATTAACAAATCTTTGTGGATTTGTAAGGAGTAAATAAGGTGATGTATGTGAAAAGACTTAGCACATGGGGAACACTTAGCAGGTGATAAATGTTAGTTAAATATGAATCTGAGTCTTTAAATGGATCTTCCGTCCTCTTTTTCTACATTATGAGGAGTCCATTTTCAATTCTGTAGTCTTTCCAGAGACCTGTGAGGATGGTACGTGTCTTCTCCTCCTGTTATGATTTTGTTTTTAATCACATATGGAAATTCGGTATTGTCGGGGAATTAGGACAAAAAGGAGAGATGGAAAGCCCCCAGGGGACTCACGGGCTACAGAGCAGATGACTTGTAAACAGTTAAGGACACTAAAATAAACCGAAAGCAGAGTTTTAGAGAAAAACAAGTAATGAGTAGTTTTTACTTGTTGGGCATTTGGGTGCGGCTCCGCGGCGGTGTTATTTGAGCTGAGCCATGAAGACTGAGTAGCTTTTGGCTGCTCTCTGGGGGATGGGGGTTAGCAGGGTGCTCCAGGCTGGGTGAGTAATATAAATAAAGGTTCAGAGCTGAGAAAGTAGAATGGAAAATAATGGGTTGTAACTAAAGTATAGGGTGAGTGGGGGCATGTGGAGGAAAACAAGACTGCAGAGCTGGTGTGACCAGCATGGAGGGTCCACGGCTGCTGAGGTGCCCTTGGCTTTGTTCAGGACGACCTTGATCTGGCCAGAGTTCCCCTCTCACGTCCCCACACCCACAGGACGTCCCAACCCGCTTCCCTCTGTTCGAGGGGCCTCAGAGGTATCAGGGATGGCTGAATTGCAAGAACCCCGTGGATGAGGATTCAGCTGAGGGCATCCGTGCTCCAGGACCATCCTCCACGTTTTCCCCAGTCTCCTCCACTCCCTGGCCCTCGCGATAGAAGGTTCCTTTCCCTCCGAGTATCAAAGGCGCTGAGAGCAAGCTGAAACACCTTTAGCTAAGTTAGAGGATGGGACCCCTTGGGTGAGATGAGCACCCCAGGAGGAGCCCCTTGCTCCTGCAGGTGCTGTGGGCTCAGTCCAGAAGCCTGGGAAGCAGACACTGGGATTCAGTCCCCACTTGCCGCTTGGCTGGCCACCTTCGAGACAGGCACATCCTGCACCTCGATGCCAGGCAGCTCCGCCCACAGTGGGCAGGCCCCTGCCCCTCCGTCTCTTCTCTTCACATCTCCTAACACGTCATGTCCGGTCTCTTGGGTGGGAAAACAGGCCGGCATTCCTGGCGCAATCTTTCCTTGCACCCACGTGAATGGTGTTTGTAGAATCTCTGTCTCGGCTTCATCACAGACCAGGAAGGAAGATGGCTCTTGGAGAACAAGTGAGACGGGGAGGGAAACACATCTAGAAATTTCAGGTTATCACTTTAGATCTAACCCAACCCTGATGGTACGGAGTGAGAGCAGGGAGCTCACTGAATAACATGCTAAGGCATTATTCAGACACTGATGAACCAATGAGATTTTTAGAATGGACAGACGTGCTTCAATATCTGTCTTTGATAAAGACCCAGATCACTGTGGATGGTGACGGATGTTAACTAGATTCTTGGGGTGATTCTTTTGCAATCGATACATATGTGAGTCACTGTGATGTACGCTTGAAACTAATTTCAAGTGTAACAACATGTCGATTATACCTCGATCATTAAAAAAAGAGCCTGATCAAATAGTTTCCCCTTTCCAAATTCTCCCCTAACTTCCGATTTCAGGTTCCTTCTTCTGAATCCCCTAACACTTTGTCTCTCCCTCTCCATGAAACTCAAGTCATGCTGTGTGACAGTTTTGCTTTGTGGGTCTGTCTGCCTCATCACTAGATGTGATCCGTGAGGGCTGGGATGACGTGCTCTCGTCTTTACATCACCTGATGTCACCCCATTGTCCGGAGACAGTAACTGGCTATTAAATAAATGAATGAATGTCAACGTGGGAGTAGGTTAGTGACCACATCTGTTTTGTTCGCCGTGGTATACGCAGCTGTGGCATCGTGCTTAGTTCTCTCAGCTGTAAAATGTGTTGCTGAGCTACATGATCTTAGGGGGTACTAAGCAAATAGTTCTGGATGGAGGGAAGGAAAGGATGCATAAAAGTACGTTCAGGAAAACAAAGGCAAAAGAGCGGAAGTAAGGACACCAGTTAGGGTAGTTCCCTGGCGGTCCAGGGGTCAGGAGTCAGCACTTTCACTACCAGGGCCTGGGTTTCATCACTGGTTGGGAAACTGGGATCCTGTGTGCCTCGGACGGCAACAGCAACAGAAACAAAGAAGGACACCGGTTAGGAGGTGACTGCAGCCGGAGAGGTGAGCAGACGGGGTGAAGGGATGATGAAGTGGCAGTGGTATGAGGGAGGGACAGGCATGACTTCTGCTTCCAGAAAGGCCCCTGAACTCACGCCATCTCTCTTCTCCTATCAGCCCCTATAAATTATGGGAAATATATACATTTTAAAGATAGTACTGGGGCTTCCCTGGTGGTGCAGTGGTTAAGAATCCACCTGCCAATGCAGGGGACACGGGGTCAAGCCCTTGTCCCAGAAGATCCCACATGCCGCGGAGCAGCTAAGCCCGTGCGCTACAACTACCGAGTCTGCGCTCTAGAGCCTGCGAGCCACAACTACTGAGCCCGCGAGCCACAACTACTGAGCCCGCGAGCCACAACTACTGAAGCCCGCACGCCCTAGAGTCCATGCTCTGCAACAAGAGAAGCCACCGCAGTGAGAAGCCCACGCACTGCAGCAAAGAGTAGCCCCCGCTCTCTGCAATTAGAGAAAGCCTGTGTGCAGCAACAAAGACCCAACGCAGCCAAAAATAAATAAATTTATTTTAAAAAAAAAAAGATAGAACTGAGGCCATAATGGCCTCTGAAAGCAAGAAGGAGATCTTTGTGGACCAGAAATTATGGAAAATCCCCGAGAAAATGAAAGCAGTTAAGACTGAAGAGGGAAAACCCAAAACAGAGGCTTCTTTGAAAAAACAAGGCAAAGTGCTTTCCTAAAAGGGTGGGAGAGGTATAGATTCTGCAGGAGCTCTGTGGTGAGAGCAGCCACACTGTTAAATAAATACAAGAGTAAAATGGGTGTTAAATATGTAAGTATAACCACTGGTGAAGGAGAAATACAATACATAATCTCAGATTCAGCAGAGAAGAAAAAAGGGACCCTAGAAAGCATGATCAACCTAACAAAATGGAAAAGAGAGAAACAAAAAGAATTCATGACAATAGAAAAGACAAAATGGCAAGGATTATTAAGCTCATTTAAGAAAGAGAATTTCGGGCTTCCCTGGTGGCACAGTGGTTAAGAATCTGCCTGCCAATGCAGGGTACACGGGTTTGAGCTCTGGTCCGGGAAGATCCCACATGCTGCGGAGCAACTAAGCCCCTGTGCCACAACTACTGAGCCTGTACTCTAGAGCCTGCGAGCCACAACTACTGAGCCCACATGTCACAACTACTGAAGCCCACGTGCCTAGAGCCCATGCTCCGCAACAAGAGAAACCACTGTAATGAGAAGCCCGAGCACCGCAAGGAAGAGTAGCCCCCCCTCGCAGCAACTAGAGAAAGCCCGCGTGCAGCAACAAAGACTGAACGCAGCCAAAAATAAATAAATAAAATTTAAAAAAAAAAAGAAAGAGAATTTCAAAAGTGGGTATGAACCATCTTCCACATCTCGGGCCCTGGAGCCCTGGTAAGGCTCTGGAGAAGAGCGTTCCCGGACCCAGAAGATAGGAGTAGGAATGAGTAAACCCTTCTGCAGGGTAGGCTGCTGATGTGACTCACAATTCAAAAGTGCGTCCTCTCTGGTCCAGCAATTCCACTTCCCTCATTTATTCCAAAGAGAGACAAGGTCATGTGTGCACTTTTCAGTTTATGTGATACAACCAACCCATCAACAGTTTAACTATGGTACATCAGTACTGTGGAACCCTAGGCTGCCGTTAAAAAATGGGACATGCCCGTGTGTAGTAAATAGTGAAAAGATGTAACACATGTAACATATGAGCAACATATTTGTAATTCAAAACAAGGTTCTACAACAGAACCTACAGTCCAAGCCTCCTGTGTGTGTGAACAGCAAGCTAGCTATAATGGTGGCTTCAGTTTTTTTATATATATATATCTTTCTATATTGCTTATTTTATCTATATGAATGTGTATTAACTCTATAATGAAACAAAAAAGTAGAGCTGTTTTCATTTTGGACAAAAATTTTTCAAGTCACTAAACTCCCAAGTGAAAACCCAAGAAATCAATTCTCTGTATTTACTGCGTAAAGAACAGATCTTTTTTGTGGACTTTCTCTGAGTTTCTTAAAATTTATTTTATTGAAGTATAGTTGATTTACAATGTTGGGTTCGTTTCTGCTGTATAGCAAAGTGATTCGGGTATACATATCTATACATTCTCCTCCATGATGGTTTATCACAGGATATGGAATACAGTCCCCTGTGCTGTACAGTAGGGCCTTGTTGTTTATGCATTCTCTATATAAATGGCCTTTCTCCTTTATGGTTTTTCTGCATGGCCTCAGGATTTCTAGATTGAGATTTTACGTCTAAAAGAAGAAACAATAAGGAAATGAAATATTTGACTATGACTTGACTTCTCCATTAATAAAAGGATGAAATTTGCTTTGTCAATTCATTTGTAGAATATCCTCTAAGATCTATGCATAAGAAAAGTAACAATTGTCATGTAGGCATGTGACACGTAAGTCTTCATCAGATGGTAATGAGTGTCCTGTCTCTTTCCCACATGCAGATGTATCAGAACATGGATGGCCATGTTTCGGAACGTCCTTCTGTTTACCAAAACAGGCGACCTTTCAGCAGAGAGGTGGACTCAGGGCTACCCTCTCCACGGGCTCACATTGACGATTCCTAGAGAAACAATTTAGTCTTTAAGGACATCATCCCCCCCGCCTACCTTAAACAGGCTGTAGATTACCAAAACAAGATTAATTTCATCACTAAATGAAAATATATTCTCAACTGCTGCTTTGCTGGACTTTTCTCTAGAAGCGCTCTGTATTTACTCTTGTTTCCAAAGGGACTTTTGTAAAATCCAGTCATTCTTTGCACAAGGCAAGAAGAGCTGATAATTAACTTTATCGGAGCATCTACCTACATCCACAGGCCTTCCCAGTCTGGCTTGAGTGAAAATTGTGTACCTGAAGTATAGTATATTCTTGTAAATACAGAAGACAAAAGCATTTTGCTAAGGAGAAGCTAATATGATTTTTTAAATCTATGTTTTAAAATAATATGTAACTTTTTCAGCTATTTAGTGATATATTTTATGAATGGAAATAAAATTTCTACTATAGAAATGTTCGTTATGGAATTGTTCCCATGGTAGATTTAGGGTGAGACTTAACTGGAGTCGTGAACCTACTGAAACCATGTCAGATGTTTTGTTTGTGCCTGTGTGTATTCCTCCTATGGTGATGGCTAATTCCTCTGTCATATTTTTGAAAGGCTCCATGACTCCTGCCCCCAGACTGTGTGAAGAACAGCCGATGTTCATGAGCTTTACAAAAAAAAGGTGTCATACACTGTGTAGACTTCCAGAGCCTACTTTCATTAAAAAAAAAAAAAAAAAACAACCAACCAACATTATACTAAGATTCACTCATGATATTACACGGAGCTGTGAATATACAATTACTACTATTTATTCATTTTCACATGATATTTGAAGTTTTAGGGGTTGGATGGTGTAATGGGTTCACAGGCGTTCCTCACTGTATTATTATTTTTTTTAAATTAATTAATTTTTTGGCCGTGCCGTGAGGCATGTGGGATCTTAGTTCCCCGACCAGGGATCGAACCCGTGCCCCCTGTATCAGAAGCACGGAGTCTTAACCACTGGACCACCAGGGAAGTCCCCTCATGGTATTATACTTAATAACATAATTTTTGTACGTACCAAATATATTTAAAAGGCAATATTTTCTTAGGAGAGATGGCATTTATTTTATTTTTAAAATTTATTTTATTGAAGTATAGTTGATTTACAATGTTGTGTTAATTTCTGCTGTACAGCGAAGTGATTCAGTTATATGTACGCATTCTTTTTTATATTCTTTTCCATTATGGTTTGTCACAGGATATTGAATATAGTTCCCTGTGCTCTACAGTAGGACCTTGTTGTTTATCCATTCTCTACATAATGGTTTGCATCTGCTAATCCCAAAGTCCCAATCCAAGGAAGGATGGCATTTGAAAGCCTCTCAGGGGACCAGGTAGGGAGGGAAGGATTGGGTGTTTCAGATTAGCAGATGCAAACTATTATGTAGAGAATGGATAAATAATAAGGTCCTACTGTATAGCACAGGGAACTATATTCAATATCCTGTGATAAACCATAATGGAAAGGAATATGAAAAAGAGTGTATATATATATATATATATATATATATATTATATGTGTGTGTGTGTAACTGAGTCACTTTGCTGTACAGCAGAAACGCACAGCATTGTAAATCAACTACACTTCAATAAAATTTTTTAAAAAATAAATAAAAACCTCCTAAGGGAAAATGAAACTAGACTCTTTTAAACCCAGCTCTTACCACAGGTTTAGTTTGGGTCAAGTTGTGTCCCTGCCATAACTACACATTTTTAAAAGGTGTCAGAACACAACCTACAAGCTCGGATCTTAGAGAAGCGTTGCTGCTACCGCCTGGACAGCCCCTGCCGCCGAGCCCTTGTAGGAATCTTGCCAGTAGGTGGCGCTCTGGGACCACTGTTTTCATGACCGAGCCAGACTCCAGGACTCCAGCCTGCCCCTGGACAGACAAATTGTAAGAAGCAGAATTAAAGAAAAGGCCAATCCGTTGATGAGAAGGAAAAATAACCCTCTATGCAGACAACATCAATTCATGTATTCACCAACCGTGGGAATGATAGTGCATTTTATGTGCATTATTTAACATTCCCGACCGCAATGGAGCAGCCTGGGGTCAGATTCTTTCCGAGGACCTGGTATTTATTCTACACCGTGCATTCATCTGCGCAGGGAATGCGCTTTGGAGCTGCTTCTTGGAGCACCTTCTCTGCTTAATGTTATCTGAGCCTGGACTGGCTTCCTATACTGAAAACAAAGACTGTTTCCTAGAGATTCCCAGAATTAAGAAAAACACCCTGAGGGGCTGGCCTGCAGCAGGGAGATACCTGGGTGACCTCTTATCACAGCTGCAGCCCTTCTTCTCCCACCACCGCCGCTTGTGTTCCTTCCTGATCGAGCTTCTCTCTCTTCAGCTCTTCATGAAGGACCTTCTCAGTAACAGATTTGTCTGAACTCGCCTGCCAGGCCCACTGTCGGTTTTGTCCAACATAAACGACGTATCGGAATGCACATTTGCCAGTGTCTGGGCCACAATCACCATCAGCAACAGAAAAAAAAGGAGGAGCTCTTATCACCTAAAAAAACACATCTTTTTAGCTCCTGGAGACCCAACATGTATTAAATTTCAAATTAAAGAGGCAGAAAAGTCTTTGATGATTTTTTTTGCACTAAAATATACATAATATAAAATTTATCACTTTAACCACCTTATAAATTGATGTATAGTTGATTTACAATGTGTTAGTTTCAGGTGTACAGCAAAGTGATTCAGTTGCATATATATGTATATATACTCTTTTAAAAAAAATTTATATATTGAGATATAGTTGATTAACAATGTTGTGTTAGTTTCAGGTGTACAGCAAAGTGATTTGGTCAGTTATATATATGTATATATATTCTTTTCCAGACTCTTTACCATTATAGGTTATTACAAGATATTGACTATAGTTCCCTGTGCTGTGAGTAGGTCTTTGTTATCTATTTTAAACATACTAGTGTATATATCTTAGCCATTTTTCAGTGTGCAGTTCAGTGGCATTAAGCACATTCACACTGTTGTGCACCTGTCACCACCATCCATCTCCAGAACTTTCTCATCTTCTCACACTGAAACTGTCCCCGTTAGATACTAACTCCCTATTCCCTCTCCCCCCTCCCCCAGCCCCTGGCAGCCCATCCTTTCTGCTTCTCTGAATTTGGCTACTCTCGGTACTTCATATAAGTGGCATCGTGCAGGATATGTCTTTTTGTAACATAATGTCCTCAAGGTTCGCTGGGATGAATTCTTTATATTGTACTGATTTGTTCATAACACACTGTATTCCAGAGCTGTGCTGAAGGCTCCACATGGATTTTCTCATTTAAAAAATTGTGAGGTGGGGGCTTGTTCTGTGGCAGTTTAACGGTGAAACGGAGACGTAAGCCTAAGAAGGATTAAGTCACCTACTTAGATCCACGGAGACACTAAATGCAGGCCTGACCCGTCACCCACGCTGGCCACCTCCTCACCATCTTACCGTCCACTTCGGCCCTCTGGCCTCCTTCTGCCAGGACTTCATCTTGCTTAGCTCAGTCCTCAGCCAATGAAATGAGTCTGGTAACAGCAAGATCACACGAGTTCCAGCTCCCAATTTGCTTCAAATTAAAAATGCATGTCTAGGGACTTCCCTGGTGGCGCAGTGGTTAAGAATCCGCCCGCCAATGCAGGGGACACAGGTTCGAGCCCTGGTCCGGGAAGATCCCACATGCCGCGGAGCAACTAAGCCCGTGCGCCACAACTACTGAGCCTGAGCTCTAGAGCCCACGAGCCACAGCAACTGAGCCCACGTGCCACAACTACTGAAGCCCGCAGCACTTAGAGCCTGTGCTCTGCAACAAGAAGCCTGCACACTGCAACTAGAGGAAGTCCACGCACAGCAGCGAAGACACAACACAGCCAAAAATAGATAAATTCATGAATTAGTTTTAAAAATGCACGTGTAGGAAAGCAATTTGCCTTCCTGGTATCTTATTGAGGAAACTTCTGCATAAGCTCTGCTTGTGAAAAGTTAAGGGCTATAGTTGAAGGGAGCAGATACTTGAAATGTTTCAACTAAAAAGTAAATAAAAATTTGACTGTGCCTATTTAAGAATTTTCTCGATGTACTGCTAAAGGTCTCTTAAAAGAAAAATTATAATGAAGTCTGATATAATATATTCAGCAGCCAAAACATAAGAATCATAGTTTGTATGGTTAAACACAAATTACGAGGCTACAACTCTATATCAATTAACGTAAGAAAACAATAGCTTTATCGATGCATGGTTCATATGCCATACAATTTGCCTGTTGATAGTGTACGATTCAGTAACTTAACTCTTTGCCTGGTTTGTTGGATGGAAATTGCCTGACCTCTGACCACCTTACATTTCTTTGATTTGACTGGCGAAGAGTCAAACAGGGTTAATTGAGCCCCAGACTGCTTCAGTGGCCTGGCTCGCCAGGTTCCGCATCAGGAATTTTTAGTTAGGTTCTTTTTTCTGGATGTTGCTTCTATATCCAGGACTATTTAATACCTTAACCTTCTGTGTCTTAAAGGTTCCTCTGTTAGTAGTGGGCTATTTGGAGTTCCTACTGTTATGCAATAGATAACACAGAATAAAAGGTTAGGCTCCTGGTCTCCTGTCAGTGGCAAGGCCCTTCCCACCGTGATATCAGCATTTCCATGAGCAGAGGAGTTTCCACTTGCAAATGCAGATGTCTATCTCTCCTGCAGCTCTCAGAGGAACTGAGAACCGCCAGGCTCCAGGCCCAGGCTGGAGCGCCTTGGGTGAGGGAGACCGTCCACATGCAGAATAAGAGGAGAAGGTAGGTAAGGGTCGCACAAAGAGGGAGGGGACGCAGAGCCGTGGAGCCGGGACCCCTTCTCCCTCGGTTTCTGCTCTGTCTTCCGTTCCCGCTCATCTACTCATCCGAGAGCCCGGGACCAGGGAGGGAATAAGGCTGAGGGGGAGGGGCTAGACAGACCTCGCCTTCTCTTCCCCACGGTTCTGTTCTGAACTGCGATGCTGCGTGGTCAGCGCTGGAATGAACCGAGGCTGAGGGAGCTGGTGGAGGGAGAAGGGGAAGAAGTGGATATTGGCTGTTCACTGGGTCTGCGGAAACCTGCAGGGATGGGAAAGGGCTGTGTTGACTCTGGTGGCAGAAGGGAGAACAGAAGAACACTCTGTAGCTGGTCCATTGCAGAGATTGTGCACAATATTGGCCAACACCTCTGCAGTGTTTTGTAACGGGAGCACTTTGGTACGTTAATTCACTTCATCTCTGCAAAAATCGCATGAGGTCAATACTCTTTTGAGCCCCGTTTTACAGACAAAGAAATTGAGGTGCAGAAAAGTTCGATAACTTGACAAATGCCAGTGGGTCGGTGGCAGAGCCTGGACCTGCGCTCTCCCGGGTCCATGTCCTCCACACTGGGTTCTTTGCCCGAAACTGCAAACACACTACAGGATCCAGCGTGTTTTCACATACCTATGTGAGGTATACGATGTGCAAGGGTTAATCTGATATCTATACCTTTTTTTCATATTTGAAGACGTGGCCTGTAGTGGTGGTACTTCTGGCCCCAGATTCATCCCCTTTGAAAAGCAAATTTCATCAACTTCTTTTCTGTCAGTCCTTCAATCATGACCCTTTGGCCCAGGCAGTCAGGGTGAGACCTGGGATGGGAAACGTCACAGAGTTAGGACAAAATCTGTGGCTACTGGTAGATTGTCACCTGCCTCTCACAGACTGTGCGGCCAATGTGACTGATTCATTAATGCTAATGTGGTTGCCCTCTCATTGAATTTTTTTTCTTTTTTTTTTAATTGGAGTATAATTGCTTCACAATGGTGTTAGTTTCTGCTTTATAACACAGTGAATCAGCTATACGTATACATACATCCCCATGTCCCCTCCCTCTTGCGTCTCCCTCCCACCCTCCCTATCCCACCCCTCTAGGTGGTCACAAAGCACTGAGCTGATCTCCCTGTGCTATGCGGCTGCTTCCCACTAGCTATCTATTTTACATTTGGTAGTGTATATATGCCCATGTCACTCTCTCACTTCGTCCCAGCTTACCCTTCCCCCTCCCCGTGTCCTCAAGTCCATTCTCTACGTCTGCGTCTTTATTCCTGTCCTGCCCCTAGTTTCTTCAGAACCATTTTTTTAAAGATTCCATATATATGTGTTAGCATACAGTATTTGTTTTTCTCTTTCTGACTTACCTCACTCTGTATGAGAGTCTCTAGGTCCATCCACCTCACTACAAATAACTCAGTTTCGTTTCTTTTTATGGCTGAGTAATATTCCATTGTATATATGTACCACATCTTCTTTATCCATTCACCTGTCGATGGACACTTAGGTTGCTTCCATGTCCTGACTATTGTAAATCCGCTCATTGAATTTTGATTCAGATGAAAGCCAATGTGGAGTTAGCATGACTTTTGGAAATATGTTTGCATTTTCAGTTCTACAGGGAAATAGCAGCAGTTATCTTTATATTTTAAAATTCTGACCCCTCCTTTCCTTTGACTTTATCTTCCACAGTATTTTTTTAATTTTATTTTTTTAATTGAAGTGTAGTTAATTTACAATGTTGTGTTAGTTTCAGGTGTACAGCAAAGTTATTCAGTTATATGTATATATGTATATTCTTTTTCATATTCTTTTCCATGATGGTTTGTCACAGGATATTGAATATAGTTCCCTGTGCTCTACAGTAGGACCTTGTTGTTTATCCCATTCTATATATAATAGTTTACATCTTCTGACCCCAAACACCCAGTTTTTCCTTCCTCCACCCCCTGCCCCTTGGCAACCACAAATATCTATGTTCTCTATGTCTTCTTCCACAGGATTTTTGTTTTGAGTATACATAAAAGGTATCAGGGTGAGAAATTTAATCTATGTGGTCATCTGGTCAACTAATTCACCCCATGGTGTTTATTACATGCCTCCTGAGGTCTCGGTTCTTGGCACCCAGGACACAAGCAAACCAGACACACTGTCTCCAGGCTCATAGAATTCACTGTGGCTGAGAGGCGATACGAAAATAAATAGAATAAGCAAGGGGATTTCAGATAAGGATAGATATATTCAGGAAGAAAATAACACATAACGGTGTCTGGGCGACAACTGAGAATGGGGCAGAATGATTCCTTAGACACTGCTTCTTGTTGAGTGAGAGTTTATTAGATACTTATTGTGTGCAGCATTTGAAATGCAGAGAAAGAGTAAAACATACTACCTGTTCTCCACAGCAGTAGCAACAAGACGGGACATGGAATTTCAAGCAGGTCGACTTGTGACCTGCCTGGGTTACCAGGGAAAACTTCCCTGGGACAACATTGACATGAAAATGCTAATGGCACAAAAAGTCTATCGAGCTTGAGTGCTGAGTGAATATGGCCCCTGCCGGCTTAGATGGTGGGAAGAGTTTGGTTGGATAGCCCTACCCCTTTGCAAGACCTCTGCTCCCTGGATTAGACCTTAAGCCTGTGTCTGTTGATTGCACAAGTACTCTGGATCAGCTTCTCCCAGAGGCATTTAAAACATGCCAAGCTAGTGTTGCATAAAAAACAAGCCTATGCATTCAGCAAATATAACTCGGCGAGCAGAGACGCGCCTCTCACTCACCCGGAGGGGAGCCCAGGTCCTGCTGCCGCCAGTGGAACACAGGCGATGGACATTGAGAAGGTCAACTCCATGGACTTTGGAGAATTTGTGGATGTGTTTGGGAGTGTCATGGAGAGATGTCCTCTGATTGCCCCCGCCGTGTTCGGTCCCAGCGCCCGTTCTCTGACTTGGAAGATTTAGATCAGCACTTTTTTGCCTTTACTGATGCTCTTCCACAGTCAGGTAAGGCTTTGGTGTTAGACACTGAGATTCTCAACAGAGGGATTTCAGATACGCTTATCAAAAAAAATTGGGGGGGGGGCGGTCATGTGGCATTTTTTTAGTTTTTAATTTAAAATTTTTTAATAGTTTTTAAAGGTTACTTTCCATTTAATTATCACAGAATATTGACTGTGTTCCCCGTGTGGTACACTACATCCTTGATCCTATCTTACCCCCAATAGTTTGTACCTCCCCCCTCCCCCATATCCCCCCCACAATGGTAACCACTAGTTTGTTCTCTGACCTGTGAGTCTGTTTCTTTTTTGTTATCAAACTAATTTCAGATATTTGAGCCCAGCTGCTTATCACTGGCATATATATTTAGCTCTCTTTGCTGTAAGGGTCAGTAAGTTCCTTCGGACTCTGTGAATGAGAATCAAGTCTTCGCCGTGTTAAGCGGAAACTGGAGCGAAAGAACGTTCGTTGGCTCAGGGAACATGGCTGTTAAATACTAGAGCTACGGGGTTACCAGGAAAGAGGGACAGGCAGTGGTCTCCTCAGGCCTCCCAGTGGCTCAGGGGCCAAAGGTCAGGCTGGGGGCCCACCCTCTCGGCCGTGTGTTCGCTTTGGGAATGTCCTGTATGCAACAGAGAAGACAGCTCCGTATCAGACTATCTCAGCAGTCCAGGGGAAAGAGCAAACGGCTGACATTTTTACCAGAAAGGGCCGGTTTGGACCAGATGGCGGAGGAAAGTAAACTGCCTCAGACCAGCAACTCCCTGGGGGAGTGAGGGGGGAAAAGACAATAAATCTGAAGGACTCCCTCTGCAGAAAGGGAAAGACATTGCTGATGTCCTTTGGGTAGAGAGAGAAAAGGAGGCACTCGTGGGTGTGGAGTGGGGAGATGAGGAAGTTTAGGGTCAGGCCAACCCCAGGTGACGCAGAAGGGCACACGGCCTCGTTCAGAGGCCGGATGTTAGGAGCCAGGGCTGCCTCCTGGGCTGTCTTCACGGTCCTTGGAGAAACCTGGATGGGCTGAGGGGACCTCGAGGGGATGGGCTGCCTTCACAGAGGGGCTTCCACAGGGATCTGGGCTGAGAGAGAAGCAATGTCTCTTCTTTTCCAAACACTCCTCACCTGTGCGCCCAGGGCTTGGACACCCGGCGTGGTTTCTAGTTGTCAGGGGATTCTCCCAAATAAGGAACTCATTTTAATTCACTGTAGGCACATATAGGATGAGGGGAGGCTAGGGGGATAAAATCAAGCTGACAGGAACGTGGGCGCCCTGTTGATCCTCACCCACTTCTCAGGGCCTCTCCGAAGCCGAACCCTCAGCTGCCCCATTGGCCTCAGACACTAGGGAACCTCTGGATCCTGACCAGTGTCAGAATCCCACACCTCCCCGAGGAGAGGATGTTGGGACTTGATAAAGGTTTGCTGAGTGAATGAATGAAATTGTTCCTAAGAGGATTTCGAAAGATGATCAATCTTGGTATTACCCCTTCCCCACACATTTTAACTGGGGTGACTTTAGTGGCAGGTCAGTGGGACAAAATAACTGGAGGGAGTTTGGACCACCTGGGTGTGTGTTTGCGTCTACACCTGACACAGGTCTTTGGTGGGACCTCCCTGCTGGTCCAGCCGCTTCTCAGCCCGAGGCTGGCGTCCCCACTTGCCTCAGGCAGCTGGGAGCACAGTCTGTCTCTAATCACCTTGCCCCGTATCTAATCACCTTCATGGCATTAGAGAGATGACACTAGCGGTAGAAATAATAATAACAACCACTAAAATGCATTTAACCCTTACTCTTGCTGTTTCAGTCACCTTTCCAAACACCTCGCATTTAACTCATTTAATTATCATTATCATTTGATTATCATTATTATCCCCCTTTTACAGATAAGAAAACTCAGGCACAGAGAGATTAAGTAACTTGATCAAGGACACAGCTAGAAAGTGGCAGAACTGGGATTCAAACCCTGACACTCAACCCAACAGCTTTTGAAGGATTTTCCAGAGAATCAAAAGCAAAATCTAGAAACAGTTTCTAGGGGTTGTATTTATTCATTCACTGATTTATTCAATTAACATTAATGCTTGATGTCCCAGACTTTTTTATGCTTTTTACTTTTTATCGCTTTTTACTTTTTATCCTTTTTTTTCCCCAGCCCCCGGCCACGCTGCGAGGCTTGTGGGATCCCAGTTCCCCAACCGGGGATTGAACCGCGGCCATGGCAGCGAAAGCGCCAAATGCTAACCACTAGAACACCAGGACTCTCTGGTGTTTTAAATAATCAAGCAAAATGGGATTCACTGCATAGTCTAGCTTTACTCCTGGAATAGTAAGCAACAAACTGGGTGTAATAGAGTCTTTGCATCCTAAAACTAAAAGGGACCTTAAAGAGATATTCAGGATATGATGATCTAACTGGTCAGGGACTTGTTTTAGATGATCCAAGAGAACCCTCTACCATTAAAAGAAAACTGGAAATCCTGTTTCTAGAGGAAGCTAAGGTCGACAGTCCATTTAGGAGACGCTATGATGATTATTGACCAGTAGGTGGCAGTCCAGGACTAATATTTAGCTCCAGCACTGCTTGGCAAAGTACCCTTTCAAGCCAATCAATTCCTGATTCCCAAGCCAGAGGAATGGCATAGTAAAGGGAAGAAAGTACACACACACACACACACACACACACACACACACACACGCGCGCGCGCGCGCACACACGGCTAACGACGAACCGATGCAATACTGATTTGTGTTAAAAATCAAAGAGCAAATAACACTCTCATAACAGAGTTAATCATGCACCTCTTGGTGGCATTTCAGAATTGCAGTAATGCCATCATTCGTTATTTAATACTTATTTCAGAACACAGGTGTTGGAAGAATCAAAGAGTCGGGTACTAATAATTTCCTTAAATGTAGGCTATAAGGTATTTAGATGAGGCTATCAAAATGTGTTTGTTCGGTCAAAGAATACGTAACGCTCCTTCCCCAGAGTGATGTGTCAGTCAGTAAACACTTACTGAACGCCTGCTACGCCCGAGGAATTGTCGCAGGCATTGGGGATAGAGCCTTGAACAAGACAAGTCCCCGCCTTCAGTGAGCTTACATTCTAGTGAAGTGACACAGGATTAACATAAATTAACAAGATCATTTCAATTCTAGAAACTATTAGAAGAAAATTTGTAATAGGGTGGAAAATGTGTAATAAAAGAGGTCTTTCTTAGGAAGTGATATCTGAGTTTAAAACCAAAAGTTGAGAGGGAAGCTGTGGAAGATTTAGGACAAGGCCACCCTAACACAAGGAACTTGAGACTTTTGACATTTGGGGGGCACGGAAAGACCACGGTGGTTGGAGAATGGTGGAGAGTGGAGGGACAGGAGGAAAGAGGGGTCAGGCAGAGGGACTGCGGTAGCAGTAAAAGTGAGAGGTGATGGTCGGGTGAACTAGGGTTGGAGCAGGAGAGATGAAGAGATGTGGCTGGATTCTCAGGATAGATTTTAGTTAGAGCCAACAGGTGTTTTTGATGGATTTGTTGGAGGAAGGTAGGTCAGAAACAAAGAGAAATTAAGGATAAGTCCTCCGTTTTTAATCTGAGCAACTGAGTGGGTGGTGCTCTGTTTTCTACAATTAGAGGTTTGGAATTGAGAGGACAGGATGGAGGATGGGAGGTTGGTAGGTCTGAGATGCCTAGTCATCACCCAGATTAAAATATTGAGTGTCCAGTTGGCTCATAACAAAGGGACTCAGTGGAAAGCTGTGGACTAGACTAGATCTGGGTGTCGTGAGAGAACTGATGGCAGTTAAAGCTATGGGACTAGATGAGAACACCTGGGGCATCCGTGTGAATGCAGAAGGGAAGAGATGTGAGTACTGAGTCCTGGGGTACTTCGGTGTTAGTGCTCTGGCAGAGCAAGGACCAGTGACGAGAGTAGGTAAGCGATGGTCATCTTGCAAGGAGAGAGGGCCAACCACGTGACATGCTCCCAAGAGGCTGAGAGAGAAGAGGACAGAGCGCTGGTCACTGGCCTATGCAAGCCGTCCATCATCTGTGACCTGATGAGTACAGATTGGTTGGTGGGTGGGGCTGGAAGCTTGGTGGGGTGAGAGGAGGCGAGGAAGTGGAGATGCTGAGGAGACAGTTCCTTCAAGGAGTTTTGCTGTAAGAAAGAGCAGAGACGCAGGGAGGAACTAGAGGAACAACGGGGAATCAAGGGAGGGTCTTCCTTTTGTTTACGGAGTGAGTGGCTCTAGGGAGTGTTTGTGTGCTGATCGGGACAAGGCAGTGGTGGGACTGATGTTTGAAATTGTAACCTTTGAGACGGAAGGAGGGGCTGGCTCCAAGAACACAAGTGGAGCGATTGGTCCAGACGACCCACTGCACCAGGAGGGAGAACACACCAGTTGGTACAGTGTGGGGATCCTGGCGGACCGTGATAGGCTTCCAGGCCAACCACCTACGCTTCAGTGGCCACCACTGTCTGCCCTGCTCTCTCCTGTTGAAGCGAGGAGTGTCCGCTCTGTGCCGGGAACTCTTCGAGGTGCAAAGATTCATGGTGTGTGGTCACAGCAAATAGCGCACGTCCACACCTGCATCTCCAGACGTGGCACGCCAATGGCAGAGGCAGTACCGTCTCAGACTTTAGGAGGGACCGAAGAAAAGGCAGCACTGAGAGGCCGTGAAGCACGGGCCACTGACCAAACCCGGCTAGGCGTAGGCTTTCCAGGTGGAAGGGCCACAGGACTGAGGCAGCGAGGTGGCAAGTGCCCAGGTGAGGTCTCCAGCCTCCTACTAGGGTTTAAGGCCACGGCTGGGAGTGCCTGGGGGATGCAGCGCTGGGAGGGAACCAGGGCTGTGCCGCAGGCCAGTGCCCTCCTGGGCAGGACTCAGGGGTCAGTGATTTGGGGCAGTAAAGATGGAGTCTTTGGCTGAATGAGGTCAGGTTCTATTTCTGCAGAGCTACCACTCCCTGCCTGACTCCCACCATCTCCTTTTGTCTGCAGCTGAGGGCTGTGTGTCTGTCTGTCTGTCTGTAAATCCTCTTTTCTAGTCTCTTTATTTCTCTTGGCTTCGTCTTCTCAGCCTCCTTTCTTTCCTCTCCCCCTCTTCTCCCTCAAACAGTGGAAAACACATGCTTAATCCTGGGCAAACATTAACCCCAGGTGACGTTTTCAAGAGGGGAGACAAGCCCAGCCGAGTGAGAAGCGGGGTGCCAGGGCCGGGGTGCTGGCGGCCCTGCCCCACGCTGGAAAGGAGGGTCTGGTAGGGGCGGCCAGGGGACAGACCCCACCCCTGCCGGGCCCTCCGGTGGATAACCGCATCCTCCACGCTGGAGCTGGGCCTCTGCAGAGTAAGAAACGAGGAAGGGAAGCCGAGAGAGGGAGGCCTGTGAGAAGGCGGGGTCTCGGGCCCCTCACCTCCTCACCTCCTCACCTCGAGGCGTCTTTGAAAATCTGAATAAGTAAGGAGGAGGCGCGGGGCGGGCCTGCGGTTCCGGCCTAGGAGCCGCCCAGGACTCGCCTGCCCAGGACCCCGCCGCCGCCCATTTTCGCGGTCCCGGCTGGGTGGGTTCGGATCGGATTCGGGTGCCGCTTGGCCTCAGGCCTGGGAAGCCGCCCGGCACAGCCACCTCCCGGCCCAGGGCTGGGGGCCCCCCAGGCAGGGAATTTATCACCTACAGTTTCGCACCCCCCCCATCCGCCGGACGTGGGAAGCAACCACTTCACCTTTGCAGTGCCCGAGGGACAGGGCCCAGGAGAGGGGTTCTAAAACGGTGGTGTTACAGAGATGGGATTATTGGTGACATGAGTTTCGTTTTCAACTCCCCTTAACCTCGAAGGGGCAGCCAGTGCCCCGAAGCCAGTGGTTTTGAGCCAGGATGCTGGGCGGGCAGCTCCTGGCTCAGTGACCTTGGAAAGGTCACCTACCCCTTTCCGAGTCTCCCTTGAATCCTCTCTTCAGTGTAGATGTTCCCCCCCCGGTTCTCCCGCCTCTCAGGACATTGGCCCACGATTAGACGGTACAATCCCAATCATCCTTTACCTGTGCAGAAACTGTAAGATTTGAGCAGGGGAAGTTTATACCGTAATTAAAGGGAGGGTTAATGATCTCCCTTTCTAGTGGAGCCCCAAGCCTGTCCCTAGCCCCAGGGTCAGATGCTTCCAGCCACATGGCAGCCCAGTTACACTGAGTTTACTAGGCCACATAATATGGCTGTTTATTGAACATTTGCTAGCATTAGGTGCTGTTTGGGTAAATGAATTGTCTCTAATCCTCACCGCTACTCAGCAAGTTAGGTGTCATCAGCTCCCCTGTACAGATCCGGCTCCCTGCTTACCATATCTGAAACCTTGCCCAGCCCCCACAATTCTAATTCTGTCTTTAGAGAGCTAAGCAAAATGATTGACCGGGGCTCAGGAAAACCCCGCTGGATTAGGACTTGAAATCCCAGGTATCACACCAGGGGTTTCCAGTTTTAGGCCAATGTTAGGAGAAGCTGTCTTCCGAGGAAATGTTATTCTCTGAAAGCTCTTTGAGATTTACAGTGGGAGAAGGGAAATGAGCCTCAGAAATGGTGTGTGGTGAGTGGGTGCTATTTTCCTAAAAGGAGGAAAGCCCCTTTCATTCAAAGGGCCGTAGAATTCGGCTGGAAATGGGTTTCTTTGCAGTTAATCCTCTGCAAAGCTCTTTGGATGCCTGATTCCAGAATCCCAGAACTCACACTTAGGGTCACAATTCCTGGGCATTTATTCGCCAAGCCCCACGAACGTTACTCCCATGGACCGTCCCCGCCCTTCTCCTTTGGAACAGAGCGAAACCCATTCCGTGGCTTTGGCAGGAAGTCTTCAGGCCCTTGTGTCCGGCCCTCTGCGACATCAAAGCCCCCCTGAGAGCAAAGGACTTTGAAAAGATACGAAACGCTCGGGCTCCCTTATCGCGTCCCTGCTCCCTCCCGAGCAAGTCGTAAATTCCGAGCCTCTGCGGCCTCTCCCCAACGCTCTTCTCGCTCCAAGGTCTCAAAGGACAAACTTGTCACTTACCGCCCCGCCCCTGGGTCCTGGCCGAGGCCGATTGAAGCGGGGATGGAGGGGCGCGAGGTTTGGGATGGGTTGGAGGGACGGGTGCGGGGGGCGCCCCGAGCCTCCTGACACCCCTAGTTGCCCCTCCTCACGTCCTGGGACCCTGCTTCCCTCGGAAACCCCTCGGGGCGCGGTACCGCGCTCCCGCCGCGTGTCTGTGCTTCTCCGCAGGCCAGGAGGGCGTCCTGCGCTGCCACCCGGACCTGGCGGGCCGCGAGCTGCAGCGGGGCGAGCTCAGCGCCGAGTCGCAGCGGGAGCAGAGCGCCGCGGGCCTCACGAGCCTGGGCGCGGCCGAGCGGCTCTGGCTGGCCGAGCTCAACGCTCAGTACCGCGCGCGCTCCGGCTTCCCCTTTGCGCTCGCCGCGCGCCTCAGCAACCGGGCGGCGGTGCCCCGCGAGCGGGCGCGCCGGCTGCACTGCCCACCCGCGCAGGAGCTGAACACCCCACTGGGCGAGGTGAAGAAGATGGGCCGCCGGCGTCTCGCCGACCTCCTCGGGAGCCAAGCCGCCGAGTCGTAGCGGCCGCGCCAGCCAGCGACCCGGGACGCACGTCGTGACGCGCGAGGGCCGCGGGCGCGCGCGCTGCGCTTGGAACAGCGTCCACACCCGCGCACAAAGGCCGGGGAGAACCGAGGCAGTCTTACGAATAATAAGCCCTTTGGTCCAGCTACCCGCATGCTCACGCTTTGCCGAAATAGATAGTTGCGTGCTTTTCGGCCCCCGCTCCCCGCGCCGCTCCCGATTTATCCAGCTCCCTGCTCCAATTCTTCACTCCCTTAGCGGCCCGCTGACACCAGCTTTTGCGGATTCCAGGGCGCTAATCGAGCTCTCTCTGGCTCCCCACCCTCTCCTGCAAACCCCAGGCGCAAAGCAAAACAGACGGAAAAGGAAGCTTTTATTCCTCAGCGGTTTGTCTGTTTCTTTTTTCTTCTCCCACCTTAGTTGCTGCACGCGACATTTACATGTGAGTGGAAGCGCCTCTCTGGCTCTGGGACACGAACGGGAGCCAGAGCTGGGACAGCAAAGCGCCGGGGAAGCAGCGTGCGGGGGGACGGCGGGCAGGAGAGAGCCCCGCAGGGGCCGGTATTGCGGAGGCGCCCCGTGGAGCAGAGAAGGCTGGGAGCGGGGGCTCTCTAGGATGGACGGGCCTGAAGTTCAGGGCCAGCGGCCTCCCGTCTCTCCCGGGGGTGGGCCCAGGAGAGCTGGTTTGTCAGAGTCCTTGGAAACCATAAGTCATTAAACAATTTTTAAAATAATTGAATAACACTCATTGAGTAGTGCTGGATATCCGCACCCCCCCCCATGAAGATGGGACCCCATAGCACTGATAAAGCGGTTGATGAGGGAAGATCTGTGCCCATAGAAAGCTTTCTGGCCAAAGGAGGCCAGACTGGGCAGCTCTGCACTGGTGGCCAGAAAGTCCACTCACACAGGAGGAGCCCACCACGTTTCTCTCCCACCCCCCAGCCAGCCAGCCATTTGCACTGGAAGGTCTAACGAACCCCGACAAATACTCCGTAGGCTTCTGTTGGCAAAGGAGAAACAAGCCATACCGTCCTCCTCACCGCAGACGGGGTAAGACGTGGAGGCAGAGCTGGCCCTTTTGAAGACAAGAACCTCCATTAGTGACCAGCCCAGGTCTGAGGGACACAGCAGCAAGAAAACCTTTCCATAAAAAGTGGTGTGGCCGCACCCTTGGTTGGGGGCTGACTTCCACAGAGAGAAGCCACTGTGGTAGCACAGGGATTTTAATCACGGAAACCCACTCCCCTTTGCCATCTTACAGACGTTGCCCGCTAGTGGTGAGGGTGAAGGCCAGAGGCTGGTCAGCGTGGTAGGTAGGGGAGCCAGGAAGTGAGCTGTGACCCCACCGAACCTGTAGAACAACTCCAGGGCCTCCCCTGCCAAGGGCGGGCGTGTGCCAAAGCCTGCTCTGGATGTAGGAGCACCAGGTGCACATCACAAAGGACCTGGATGCAAAGTTGGGGCCCTTGGGCCTGGGGCTAGACGCTGACCTCCCTCCAGCCAGGGTGACTTGGGGGCTTTCCTGACACATGCGAGAAACCTGCCGCTTGGCGAAGAGGGTTTTCTGGTCCAGGATACAAGCGCCAAGGGCTGGGCCTGAGACTGAGAATAATACACTATATTGAAGGTACCTTGCCCAGCCCTGGGGTGAGTCCAGCTCTCAGACAGATGGAGCCCAAAATGCAGAGTCTGAGCTCTTTATGTGAATATGCTCAAGCTAAGATAGGTAGGGCTCCCCAAGGCAAGATTCTCAGCCGTATTTTTAGAACGAGAGGGGATGCGATCTGGCCCTCTCAAGGCACGACCTGTGTCTCCAGTTACACAGTTACCTTTCAAGAGCTCAAAGCTTGTCGGTGAAATTGTTTATTTCTGCAGGAGGGGATCCGGGTGGGGGAAGACATTAGATCCGCCCCTTCAGAGGAGCTGGGGGAGAAGGGGGAGTGCCTCTTCCAAAGCCCCGAGCGCTCGCAGCCGCGCGGGCGGGAGGGCGCGGGACGCAGACGTGGGCGCCGGCGGGGAAGACCCCGGCAAAAGCCCCCGGGGGCTGCTGCTTTCTTCTCGGTAGGAGCAGAGAGGCCAGGCCGGCCCTCCTGCAGGCGGGGTAACCTGAGGCTGCCGAGGTCTGGCAGGGCAGTTTGTTTCCTGCCACATCTTTGCTCAAACAGTGACTCGTCCTGGGCCTGTGCCGGCCTCGGAGACGTCTTCTGGTTTCCGCGCTCCGGTGCGCAGGACGCGGGAGACAAACCCCGACGAGCGGGGACCGCGACCGCGGACTCGGACCTCAGCGTGCGCGCCAGCCTGGGCGGCGGGGTGGCCCGGAGCGCGCCCAGAGATGTCGGGGGAGGGGGCGCAGAAGCGGTGGTGTGGATTCCAGGGTGAATAATTAATACTTTTACTTACTAATTCGTTATGAAAGCACGATGGCAATTCTAAGAAAAGTTGGAGAGCAAGGAGCTGATTTCAGCTCCTTTCAACCCCTCCACGCACGCTGCCTTCCGAGATGGGGGGCTGCTTCGCCGACTTTCACTCCCCCTTAAAATGTCCCAGGCCAGCCGGCGAGCAGGGGGCGCCCCCCCCCCCCGGCGAGCGTCCCCGCTGGGAATTCCCGAGCTCAGTCCCACTCACCTATGTTACCGGGTAACTGAATGAGGGCCTCCTTTTCGTCACCCAGACAGGTACGCTTTAGGGTCTGGGTGTCCAAAGATGTGCACAGACACGGGTGCGGGAAGAAAGACAACCCAATTCTTGGCATAACCTTTCGTCATTTTAAATTTGACACATTGCCAGAGTTCAGCCACAGGATACGGGTTCCGATTCAAAAATAAAGACGAGCTCTTTTTCAGAAAGTATTTACTGTGGGACTGGAGTGGATGGATACCTTTGTTGGCAGTTGGAGAAAAATCTGGATGGAATCAATGGAAAACTCACCGTTCAATAAACTAATAAACCGCAGTTAGCAGGTGCCTGTGAAAGGGAGAAATAAATAGGACGCCGAAAGAAAGCAGTCAGAAGTGTCACAACAGCTGAACCTGGTTGTTCTGCGACTCTGGTGTGAGTGGCGGGGAGTTTGGGTTCCGGCAAGGAGGCCAGTTGGTTTGGGGTTTAGAAGGCAGTGTTTCTAGGGTGGCACCAGCAGCCCTGTGGTAATTTACATCTTTACAGAGTGCTCCGAGTTACAAAGAGTGCCCCTATAGTAGCTCACTTAAGGGTCGTGACTGGGACAGCTAGCTGTGTGGCCTTGGGAACGTCACCCAACCTCTCTGGGCCTCAGAGTTCTCCTTTGTAAAATGGAAGGGCTACAGACACTAAGTCCTCTGTCCCCCCTCTTGGGAGAGTAACTTCCCAATGGGCTCAGTGACTCAAGGAGAGCTGAACCTTTATCTGAGCCACCTCCTTTAGCCACGTAAAACCTGCTGCGTAGGGGCTCCTAGGAACGTATTTTCATATGACAAACAAAGGTCACTCTAAGCACGAGACATGGGGGAGTGAGTGAACAAGCGGTAACTCCACGTCAAAGCCACGTGAGACCATTTAGGTGTTGCTGGCCTGGGGGCCTCTCCTCCCCAGCATCAGGGTTTCCCTCTGGGGTGAGATCCCAAGTGCTCTGTGCTCATGCATCACACAGAAGTAGAGTGTGTTACACAGCATCCACACTGTGTCCAGAGACTGATTTTAGGGGGGGAAAGAAAAAAAAAAAGGAAGAAAATGTGCAACCGCCATGTATTCACGTAACTTTCAGCCAGTGAGCAAAACCAGATTTCTGCACCCAAATATCGGCCCCTTTCCTGAAGCTTTTTATTTTCCAAACCTCCTGGCTTTGAGGGGAGAAAAAAAAAATGTGTTCCTTGCCCTGCATGAGAAAGCTTGCTGTTTTCTCCTCTCTCCTACACCCTGAGTGTTAAAACTCTAGTCCACCAATAACCTGCCACAATTTCAGGGACTTTTCCTCTGGTAGAGAGACTCAGTTTGCTTGGGGGAAAACATTCTTGACTCCACTGGGTGGAAACACATCTGCTCCTGTGCATGAAGCCCGGACAGCTGTGGGCAGCTGCGGCCCCTCCCTGCTGTTCAGGACCAACATGTTTGGCTCCTTTGTGACCTGATGGGGCTGAGCAGGCACTGGACTCCGGGGAGGCCTACAGAAAGGACACTGTGGTGGATTTCCTTCACAGAGATGTTAGCCGAGCGGGCTGTGGCGTGGCAGGCCAGGGTGTGTTGGGGTCAAATCACCCATTATAGAGCCTTCCTTTGTGTGAGGGGGTTGCCCACTGAGTGCGATGGCCCAAGAACTCCCTGACTCCAAATTAAGTGGAGATTGAGTCGTTTTTCCACATCAGTGTAGACTGCCAAGGTGAACAATTTCATCAGACAGCACTCTCTTCCTTCTCACTCTTCCTTAACGATCCTGGGAATTCAGGTCAGTGCCGGGTGAAGGCTTCCTGTGTGGGGGAGGAGAGGCAGTCTGCAAGGGCTGCGTTATTTGGATAATTTCCTGGACCTAAAAGGGGCTTCAGAAAGTAGGCTTGCATGCTAAGGTGGATACAGACAGCCTGCCCCACCAGGGTTACAAGGGTCACGGGTGCCCCAGTTCCAGAAGCCACAAATATGGGGAAAAGCAGGGTCCCCCAAGCTGGAGCAAACACTGGGGACCTTTGAGCAGGGAGAGAGCCCTGTCAATGATCTGTGGATTCAAGGAGTGTCTCATCTGCCCGGAGGAGCAGCCCGCCCCTTCCGGTGCCTCCTGCCCCCGCCCCCCTCGGTGCCCCTGCCCTTGCCAGCGGCCGGGCTCCTGGAAGCGCCGACCCTCTCCAAGGAATGTGGAGGGGCCGCTACGCTGTCAGTAACAAAGGGACGGCCTCTTGATAACCCGGGGGGTGGCTGCCCCTGGAGTCTTCCGGACCCTTTATTTACCTGGGTCTCTTTCCCCCCACCCTCTCCTGCCCTAAATATCCTGCTCGGGCTCTGGTTCCGTGGGGTCACAGCTTCAGCCCCAGCTCAACCCCACCCCCGAGCGTCCCAAATAAGTTTGCCTCTCTCCAGAGCAATTCACTGCAGCTGCTCTGGAGACGGAGGTACGGGCTGGAACAGAGCCCTGAGCAGTGGAGTTGGGGACGACCGTCCAAGGTGGCTCTCAGCTTGGGCCAAAAGGCTCTGAGAAAGCTAACACGCTCCTTGGGTCTCCGCTGGGGGCCCTGCTGCCGGTGGCACCTGCATCCTTCCAGGCCCCCACCCCTGCACCCCGAGGCTGGAGGAGCTGCCTCCCCTCCCCCATCTAGAGCAGGTTTCCAGAGGATAGGCACGTCACAAAGAGCTGTCAGAGGCTAAGCCGTGGGGATGAAAAGACACGCTGGCTCCTTTCCCATCAGCCACCTTCCACCCCTCTCTGACTGCTCCCACCACCCTGCCCCTGCAGGGACCTAGATGGGTTCTCTCCTGGCTGAGAGGGCAACCCAGAGCTGAGGGGACATTTCCACTCCAAGGAGCTTGTCCAAGGACATTGTTGTTGCCTCCTTTTCCCTCACCCACAGCCCAGGGCCCAGGACCATGGGTGGGACCATGCTACTGCCATGGGGGCCCATTTTTCCATGAAGGAAACCAATCAGTGTCCTTTCTCCAGCCCTCACACCCCACACCCCCAAGTGAGTGGGCCTCACTGAGATCTGGCCAGCTCCAGGGCCTGGTGTGACCCCTGGGGACAGATCAACCC